TTGTAGATGTTCAGAAAACATCAGAACAGATGAAGATCATTCATTCTAGTGTGGAAGTTGGACAAAATAAGTATAACATAGGGACGCCTGGGTGGCTCAGTTGGTTAAGCAGCTGCCTTCGGCTCAGGTCATGATCCCAGCGTCCTGGGATCGAGTCCCGCATCGGGCTCCTTGCTCAGCGGGGAGCCTGCTTCTCCCTCTGCCTCTGCCTGCCATTCTGTCTGCCTGTGCTCGCTCTCTCTCCCTCTCTTTCTGACAAATAAATAAAATCTTTAAAAAAAAATAAGTATAACATAGAACAAACAACATAATTTTAGACTATTTAAGTGCTATGGAATAAAACAAAGTATAGGCTTGAGATTGCTAAGAAGGGCTGATTACAGTATTAAGTAGCATGGTACAGGTAGGCTTCATTAAGAAAGAGTAATTTGAGTGAAGACTTGAAGTGAAGATGCTTGTTAAATGCCACTTGGGGAAATAGTATTCCAGGTAGAGGCTCTCAGGTGGAGGGGTGTCTGGTAGATGTAAGATACAGCCAAGAGACCAGTGTGGCCAGAGCAGAGTGTGATAAGAATGGGTCTCTCTGTAGTAGAGAGATGCAAAGGTGGGGGTAGAAACATTTTATAAGGCCTTTGGGGCCATTGTAAGGACTTTGGCTTTTTACTCTGAAGTAAACGGAGAGACTCAACAGGATTTTAGCACAGAGAAGGTAGAATATGATTCATATTTTAAAAGAAAGCACCACTTTGGCCACCATCCTAGAATAGTTTATAGGAGGTCAAAGATAGAAGGGGGTGGTAATGGTGGAGATTGGCTTCTGGAGGATCCAGAATATTTTGAAGGTAGAGCTAACAGAATTTTCTAAGAGACTAAGTGCAGAATGTGAGAGAAAGAAAAGACAGGGATGACTCTGAGGGATTTGGCTTGAACAAGTGGAAGGATAAAGTTTCTCTTTAATGAGATTTTGTGGGAAGAGTAGGTTTGGGGTGGGAGATGTTGGAATTAAAAGGCAAATCTGGGACTTGCTAATTTCCTTGCCTATTAGCCATTTGACTGGAAATGTTAAGCAGGATAGATGAGTCTCGGGTTTGGAATAGATGATACAAATTTGGGAGTTACTTACATATAAATGGCATGTAAAGTCATGGGACAAGTTGGGATCATGGATAGATGAATGTAAACAGAGAAGATAACCAAGGACAGATCGTTGGGGTCTCTTCAGCATTATGAAGGGAGAAGAGGAGGAACTAGCAAGGGATACTGGAAAAAATGGGGGGCACTTCATGGACATTCAGTAGGAAAAAAAGCATGAGAGTGTCATGCCCTGGAAGGCAAGAGAAGTGTATCAGAGAGCGTAAACAATCAACCATGTCAAACACTGATGGTAGGTGAAGTCAGCATGGGGACTGAGAGCTCATAATGGGATTTTTCAAACATTGAGGTAGCTCTTGGGGAATGAGGATGAAAACTTGCTTGGTGGACTTACTTGATTGTGACCATTGCATATTGTTCTTGAGCAAGACACACTCCAGTTTGTGGCCACTGTCCCAGAGATAGGTAGCATACCTATCAAAAGGAGGAGACTATGCATTCTGCAACACCCCTGCTTATGACCCCTTTGTATAGAAATTGTGCTTCTTCATACCAGTGAAGTGAGAAAGTTGTGATTAGATGTCCCTGTGGGCTCACAATTTCTGCCCAAAAGAAATTAATGTGAGGGACAGAGCAGTTGCTTACTCTTGGGAGGGTTACTAGTTTTGCTTCTAGCAGCTCAGCTATAAGCTTACATAACCTTTCTGTGTCCTCTGCAGAATGAATGAGCATTCAGCTGTGGGACAAGGCAATTTTAGGGTTAAAGATGTTTTGTTTTTGTTTTGTTTTGTTTTTAGAGTTAAAGTTTGTTGTGTTAAGGCCAGCAAATGTGCAAATGACAATTATATAGGACATCATCCCCCACTGGTACCTGGTAGGGAGTAGAGGGAGGAAAAAAGATTCTTTAACCCATTTCTATATGTTGGAGTCCCATGATTTTCATTTCTCTGAGATAAAAAGAAAGAAATAATGATTTGGCCAAGAGAGGGAAAGCCACCCACTGTGTCAGACCTAAAGAGGCTTTAATGGGAAAAGGTTTGGGGACACTCTAGGCAGAGCAGATGATATGTATAAAAGCAAGGCAGGCTCTAACCTAAGGTTCATAGGATTGTGGTGGACCAGTTTGGATAACATTAAAGAGGCCCAGAACAAGTTACTGGTAAGTATGGAGAGGAATCCTGTGGTCAGAAAGTGAAATTCAGACTAAACTATCTGGGGTATAGGTGTAAGTAGAAGGCATCAGGGATTTGGCTGACTTAGGGTGTGACTGCCCATAGGCTAGGCAGTGTTGCTCAAACTATGGTCCCCACATCAGCGACATCAGCATCACCTGAGAACTTGTTAAAAATGCAAATTCGCAGGCTCTACCTGAGACCTACTGAGTTAGAAACTCTGGAGATGGGCCCAGCAATCTGTTTTAACAGGTGATTCTGATTCATGCTAATGTTGAAAAACACTGGTCTAGGACTGAACTAGGTATTTACTAACTGGAATTGGGGAGAATATTACAAATATAGGAGTCAATAAAGGTTTTGAGCCTGGCTGAGTGGAAGAAGTCAGTTGTTTAAATTATCTAAATGTGTTTCTTATTTGTTCCTTTGAAACAAATAATAATAACAAATTGAAAGTATTTCTCTATCAAGTTATACAGCTGTTGGCTGTAAGTGTGTACAGTTTTATATGACTGTCATAGTCATATAAATATAGTCATAAAAACCATAGTTGTTTATTGTTTATTTGACAGAAATTCTGAAGTTGGTCCTGAGTGGGTTTAGAGGCACTTTTAATTCATCAAGGTCTCAGTCCCAGGTGTCAGGTTTTTCCCAAGTGGCAGGCTTTTAGTCTTTCCACACTGCCAGCCTCCTGGTGGCGCCATACTGGTGATGTGTCTCTTTAGGCCCACAAAATGGCTGCCCAAGCTGCCAGCAGTAAATCCTTGTAGAAGAGCATTTTACACAGGGGGAAGTTGGTGTAAGCCAGAGTGCATTCTTTCCCTATGCCATTCATTCATCTCCAACCCCATCTGCCCCCCATCCAGAAGACTTCGTATGTATCACCGTACAAAACAGTGATATGCCCCCCAGACCACCCACCAGCACATGGGACTAGATTAGATCTAGCAAGAGCCACGCCCTGGGTTTGGGCCTATTGTACATCCTAAGAAAATCAGAGTTATGTTAGTCAGGGTAATGGGACAGGGCTGTCGGGAGAGCAACTAACAGTGCTTGCTATAGTTATAAGGACACAGACACTTAACCTATATTTCTGTGATCAGTAGTTACTTTATTCGCATACTGCTTCTATATGAGTAATCTAAATTTTCTACTGAATATTTGGCCCTCATGCCTTTATCATGACAGTTTCAATAATAGAGAGAAATTATTTTTAATAACCTCAAATTAAAGTTATTTCTAATAGGAAGACTGGACTTGAAATTTCCCAGGTTGGTCTGTTATTCACATCCGGCTGTTGTGACAACTAGTGCATTAGCTGAAACAAAACAAAACTCTCTCATAGATGTTTCTGAAATGGTACCAGCATTATTTTTAAACAAATAGCAATCACTAATACTTTCCTTTTGGTGTAATTCCATATTTTATATTAATTTGGGACAAATGTGTCATACTATGTGTAATGATTAATATCAATTTGTTGTGTTCTCCTATAGGAATTTGTCCTAGAGTATCCTGGTCATCCTGTAGTGGTTCAAACATACAATAGCTCATATTCATGCTGGAAAAAAAGCCTGCTGGGGCTGAAAGTTTTCTACAATGTCTCTACAAAGGAGAAACTCTGCCTTTCTCTCTGGCTCCTTCTAGACGTAAACCTAGAAGCTGCTGACTATCTGAGTGGTCAGAGCTCCCCCCACTGGAAAGTATATCACTAAAGGGCAGGGCCACTGCCTTGAAAGGTGGTGGATCTTCATAGATATATTCTCTATTCCGGCTTTGCCATCTGGTTTCTGCTGGTACATGATTGGCATATCGGATTCAAGGGGGAAGAAACAAGAAGCTTTGCTTGGGTTTCTTGGTCTGAGTCACATTTTCTAATCTAGCTCAGTTTTACCATGGAGAAGCCCTGTATGTGGAGGAGTGACCACCACCTGCCCAGCGATGTGTAGAGCTCCACGTGACTTCCATCCAGTTAGTGTTCTCTGTGGCCATACTCCCTTGAGGATACCAGAAGCAGAGGCAGGGGAAATGGTAGGATCAGGGCACAAAACCTTACCCAAAGTCCTTAACACCAACAGATATTAAGTTTTCTTTACAATAACATCAAATGGGGAGCTGACTTTGGAAACAAGCAAGTTAGTCACAGTTTTGAACCATAATGGTGCAGAAGCAATGAAAGAGCATCTGAAAATTTCCTGAATTTTCAGAAAGTAATTTGTACTGTAAAAGCTATTTAAACTACAGAAAAAGCACAGAGATCAGCAGTTTTTAAAGCAACTCCTGGGCTCTCAAAAGTTCCTAATTGGCATTTGTAAAAGATTCTATTAGCTTGAAAATATATGAACATATTGGTTTGCCTACTACTTCTTTAATAAAGACTATAATTTTTACTTAAACTATATAATTATATGGTAAAAATATTATGCTTTCCTTTGAAAAATCCATTTATTCAGGCCACATCTGGTGTCAAGAAACAGAAACCTATTCCATCTGAGCTAAAGTAAAAGCGTGATTTATTATAAAGATAATTATCCCAAGTAAATCCTAGAAGAAAGACTACACAGCCAGACTTTATGAAACTGGTGAATCTGACCAGCTCTGAAGACCTCACAGCAGAACTGTGTGGCTCTTTCTAAGTCACTGCCTTTACCATGATCCAGACACCAACTTACTCAGCCATTTTTCTCAGTGCAAGTTGTTTGACGCCATGAGAGAAATCTAAATGGTTCCCCTTGAGTAAGGTGTGTTCATTCTAGCCCAATCAGTTGAAACCAAGGTGGTGAGAACAGCTGAGCAAACATGGCTGCTCTTGTCCCTGCCTTAGGCATGGCCTCTGGGGGGAAGGAGGCTCTCTTAGAAGCATGTACAGGCAAGGATGCATTGGCTGACCATTGTATTTTAATGTAGTTAAAAAAAAAGACAATTGACAACAAACTGTATGAGAAAATAGGACAATAAGCAAAACTGTGAGTGGATTCAGGTAACACAAAATGATTGAACTCACTTTTTTGTGTGTGCACTGTCACTGCTATTGTCTAGCATAACATTATCTAAGGTGGAAGCCAATCTTTTAAACTATTCTTGCCTAAATACAGGCATTCATGGGTCTTTCCATATGTACTACAACACCAAATATCTTTATGGTTGGTCTAATTTATTTGTTGCTCTTCCACACTTTTGTCTTCAGAATCTGTAAAAGGAGAAGAATGAAAAGGTGTAACTATTTAAAAATCCATTGGTAACCTATGTTTTTACTAGATTTACATTTGCTCTCCTCTTTCTCCTGTTTCCTGGTTTCCTGCATTCAATCTGATTCAGCTGAGGGAGTGTGTGTGAGAGGGTTTCTATCTATGAGGGACATCAAACCACAAGACTATCGTTAGATCTTTTACATAAAGCAAAACTTAATTCTGGCCTCCCTCCTGACCTTAATCTATTTCTACATGAAGTGTTGTTTGGTTCCTTTGTTTCCCATTCTGAATCTTGTAGCTACATATTTCCATTTCTTCTCTTGGCCCTGCTTCTTGTCTATGTACCAATTCTAATTCCCCATAGTTAGCCCCACTCCAAAGCCCATTATTCTATACATTTTCAGAATGGAAGGTACCATGGATTTGTTCATTTTATTGGATATTCAAGTAAGAGTGTTGGAGCCGTGAGTGAATATCCTGAATGGTCAATCCCAAAGAAGTCTGTATCAGCCTGATTTTCAAAATATACCATGACAACTAAGTTATAGACTTTGAAAATCTAGAGTTGCAGATATATCTGTTTCCATTTCCTTACTTATTCATTCTGAAGGAAGGATTCAGTTGCCATTGACATAGCCCTGGTTATAAATGTAGAAAGGGAGGTTCCAAAAATGTCAGCAAGCAAAGCTGGGGATGTGGGTTGGGGGAGAGTTTAATTATATCTGGGGGACATTTGATCTCTTCTACCCAGTTCTATTAATAGAATAAGAAAAGACTAGTTGATGTTTTGTTTCCCCACCTACCATTTATGGCTTCTTGACCAAATGGCTTTTCAGAGGTGGGTTGAGGAGTCAAATCTAAAAGATTCACTGCTGTAAATAGAGTAAGGGCAGAACAGAGATTTTAGGATCTAAAGTACATTGATTTTTGAAGTTAGTGTCATTTTCTCCTATCCTGTTCCTTCCACACCAAGTTCTTCTGAATGTCTTGTTCTTGGGGAGCTGCAAGATGCCCGATCACTTGTATATGGAGTTTTGAAAACTGGACTATGTTCATCTGACGACAACATTATTCTCTAAGACTGGACAACATGAGTCATGACCATTAGCACCACAGAGATGGTTTGTGATTCGATTGACTTAGTGTCTGACATAACCAGGATCATTTTCGTCATCTTTGATTAGATCAGGACACATTCTATCTTTATATTCTGAAACCAAAATAAGCTAAAACATACTGGATTTAGAACATAACTAACAACCATGAAATGTTCGAGGTCAGTGTTTTTCAAACTTTATTGACCATAACTCACAGTAAAAAATGCATTTTACGGGAGCGCCTGTGTGGCTTAGTTGATTAAGCATCTGCTCAGGTCGTGATCCCAGGGTCCTGGGATTGAGACCCACATTGTGCTCCCTGCTCAGTGGGGAGTCTGCTTCTCCTTTTTGTTCTCCCTCTGTTCTCTCCCTCTCTCAAGTGAATAAATAAGATCTTTTAAAAAATGCATTTTACATTATAGTCCAGTATGTGCACTTGTGTGCTTACAATAAAACAGAAGAAGTTACATGAAATAGAACTTACCCTTTTCTTATTTTTTCTACTCATCTTTGTTTTTCTATTGTATTCTAGTGCATTGGGAAAAAAAATCTGGTCTCCTCACTTACTCTTTTCTTATCACTTTTATTCCAGTTCAAGGAAAAAATGCCAGTTGCTAAACTGATTTCATCACCTAAAATTTTTTTTCTTTTGCTTTAATAGGCTCCATAACCAGCATAGAGCCCAACATGGGTCTTGAATTCACAACCCTGAGATCAAGACCTGAGCTGAGATCAAGAGTGAGATGCTCAACTGAGCCGCCAGCCGCCCCACCCACAAAATTCTTTTTATGACCCACTGAGCCAAGTGTGGAAAGCACTATCAAGTGATATTTGAGTCTAATGCTCATTCAACATGCAGCCTCTCAAACAACCTGAAATCAGCCCCATTTTCTCTACTTTATTACCACTAATGTTCTTGAGTCTGTGTAAGATTATGTCTTAGTAGAGGGTCTAAGAATCTAACATTTGAACTAACAACATGGATCGTTCTGATGCCTAAACTCTGGAATACATACTCTACTTGGCTCTTTTTCAACCATGCTGGAAAGATGCCAGTCACCTTGGTCATGACAGATCTGACAGTTTTTTCTCAGTTCTCTCACCAGGGCCTTGGAGCCCTCAGTTGTTTCCTTGGGTATTGCTCAATACCAGCTGGGCCAACTGGAACAACAGTGCAGCCACCCAGATACCTAGAGATACTGTCTGACTGGACCTCTTTAAATACCTATTCTCTCTGGGACTGAGCTCAACACAGTCCTCCAGGCAGTGATTTGGGTGACTCCATCATCCTCTAGGGGGCCAACGAGAAAGCAAGATTAGTTCTCTAAGCCTGATGGCATCCATTTCATGCTTGTCTCGCCACCTACCAGCCATTTTGCTGAGCTCTCAAGCAACCAAACTGGATGACCTCCCCATGCCTCTTCCAGTCCTACTCATCCTTTCAGGATCCTCTGTTCTATCCCAGCTACTCCATTTATTGTCTTCTCAATACAACTTTAGATTGCCTCATGTTCACACCTCTGGCCACCTGAAATGCCTCCTCTGCCCACGTGTCTCCTCCTGGTGGGGCACATTTCACAGCTTTTCTGACTCCTCCACCTGTGGGCTTCTTTTCCACTATGACATGAGTAATTCCTACTCATCCTTCCAGACTCAGCTCCCATGTCCCTTGTACTTGAAAGCCTTTCCTAACCTTGCTGTCCCTGTCAGGAGAGCCCCAGTGTGGTTCAGTTATACCTGGACCTCTCTCTACATACCACTTCTTTCTCAACAGGGTAGGGTTTTTGTTTGTTTGTTTGTTTTTAAAGATTTTATTTATTTATTTGACAGACAGAGATCACAGGTAGGCAGAGAGGCAGGCAGAGATAGAGGAAGGGAAGCAGGCTACCCACTGAGCAGAGAGCCCAACGTGAGGCTTGATCCCAGGACCCTGGGATCAGGACCTGAGCCGAAGGCAGAGGCTTTAACCCACTGAGCCACCCAGGTGCCCCTGTTTGTTTGTTTTTAAAGATTTTATTTATTTATTTGTCAGAGAGAATGAGAGACAGAGAGAGAGAGAGGCAGGCAGAGGAAGAAGCAGGCTTCCCACTGAGCAAGAAGCCCTATGCGGAGCTCGACCCCAGCTCCCTGGGATCATGACCCAAGCCGAAGGCAGACGCTTAACTGACCGAGCCATCCAGCATCCCTTTAAGGGAAAAAAAAAAGATTTTACTTATTTATTTGAAAGAGTGAGGAAGAGAGAGAGTGAGTGAGCCAGCATGAGTAGGGGGAGGAGGAGGGGGAAGGGGAGGGGTAGAGCGAGAAGCAGACTCCCTGCTAAGCAGGGCTCCTGATGTGGGCTTGATCCAGGACCTTGGGATCATGACCTGAGCCAAAGGCAGATGCTTAACTGACTGATCCACCCAGGCACCCCTAAACAGGGTAGTTTTTGATTGGCTTTGCTGATTCCTATGCTAGATGGTGAGCACCTTGAGAGCAAGAACAATGTTTGATTTCCATTCATGTCCCCAGGACCTAGTGCTGTTTCTTTCTTTCTTTCTTTCCATTGTGCTAAAACATATGACATGAAATCTACCTTTTAAACATGTTTTTTCAGTGTACAGTACAATACATTGTACTGTATATGTATATATACATTGTTGTACAATATATCTTTAGAATATTTTCACCTTGTGTGACAGAACCAGTAGTTTCTGAATAAATAAATGATCATTTGATTACCTTTAGCCATCTTACGTCCCAACTAGATCTGAAGATATGACTAAGTCTTCTCCTTCATATATTACAAGGAACTCTCTTTTCCTTATGCATTTCTGTATGATTTATTATATATTCTCTTTCCTTTTGATCTGTCTTGCTTTGTTTTATTGAACTTTTTAATTCATTGTACATCCTGGCATTTACTTCTTCGTATTCTCAGGGCTCCTTTCTCCAGACATGTCTTGTGGTTATAACTCTGTTATTGTGTCCCTAATGTTTCTCACAGTGATCAGCATACAGAAAGTACTCAACGAATATCTGGTAATTTCCTTCAAGATTTTAATAGATTTTAAATATGACCTGGTTGTTTAATATAGGATGAGAGTGATAAAAGACTTAATTCCTACCTTGTGGCTGATGGTCAAATTCCTTTCTTCGAAATTTAGTGTTAAGCTTTGGATTAAAAAGGACATTTTTTTTTTCAATTGATATACCTACCATCTGAGACTCTTTGATTTTCCTGGTCATTGTATGAGGTAGGTAAGGTGGTCTTTTCATAGCTTTTGGCTAAGTCAGTCTCTTAAAGTCAAGAAATTAAGTATTAAATTAATCAAAAAGATTAAACAAACCTCATGCATGAATCATCTCATTGATATGCTAATAAGCAGAGATATCCAAACTGTGCAAAATTCTGATAATTTTCAATGCTGATCTTGGAATCTCTGGAACAGTGCTTTGGGCAAGGTCTGAAGTTGACAGAATCAAGATTGATCGATCTATCTATCTAGCTATCTATCTATGTAGGTATCTATACCTTGACCTTTGTTAATGAAAATAGCATAAAATCAGGTTATTCTTTTTCATCAAACCCTCTATAATGCAAGTATTATGGAAAATTTAGGATTAACTACCAGTCAAAGGAGTCAAATTTAGACTGACTGCTTTATAGCCCATTCTCAGAAAAAGGAATTTGCAGCTCTCCTCTGCAAAAGCAGGAAGCCGCACAGAGGGCTTCTAAACTCTGGGGATAAAAGAGTTCCAATGAAAACCAACTGCTCTTCAGACTTCTGTGTCTGTGCCCTTGGATTCCATGCTGCTTTGGACTTTATTTCCTTTGGCCCATTCCCAGTGTGTTGACCACTAGGCAGAACAAGATCTGAATTCCCAAAGCCCGTCCTCTGCCTTAAACATCTTTTCCTCGAGGTCTGGTCTCTCTGCCCTCTCCACACTGCCATATTTGACCTCACTTAAACCCTCTCTGGTCTGGACCAAGGTCAGTCTGCTGTCTCCTACCAGGTTCTTTTTTAATTCATTCTGCAGCAACTTTTTGATGGAGTGGAATCTGTAACATACTTGTTAAATATTTTCAATATTTAGAGATTAAAGAAAGATGATAGCACTTCCTTATGAGTTTAGGATTAGAGAAAGTGCCAGTGAGAAAAATAAGCTTATTAAAATGTATTTTTTTAAGTGATCTAAAAGTAAATGGAATGTTGTGGGTTGCATTGTGTTCCCAGAAAGATGTGCTGAAGTCCCAATCCCTGATACCTATGAATTTGACCTTATTTGGAAATAGGGTTTTCGCAGATTTAACCAAGTTATGATGGGGTTGTACTGGATTGTGATGACTGGTGTCCTTTTAAGGAGAAGAAACAAGACACACACACAGAGAAGACCGGCACATGAAGACAGAGGCAGAGACTGGAGTGATGCAGCCATTGCCCAGGACACCAAACACTACCAGCACAAGAGGCAGGGAAGGGTGCTTCCCTAGAGCCATCTGAGAGACCATGTCCCTGCCAACACTTTGAATTAGGTCTGCTAGTCTCACCTGTTCACTAGAGAGTAAGTTTCTGTTGTTGAAGCTACCCAGCTGGTAGTCATTTGTTACAGCAGGTCTGGGACATGAATACATATGTTACACATACATTTATAGGGTCATTGTGTTTTTAAGAAGGGATTTCTTTAGCATTCTTATGAGATGTTTTATTTTGAAGGACACATTGAACTTGGCAGTTTATTTTGTCAGTAATTTCATTTAAAAGTGATAAAACGTGGATTATAGTTATCAATATTCAATAGCAATTCAGTTTTAACAATTTTTTTTAATTTTTAAAAAGATTTTATTTACTTATTTGAGGGAGACAAGATCTTAAGAGTGAGAGAGAGCACAACATAAGGGTGGTGGGAGAGGGAGAAGCAGTCTCCCTGTCAGAGGAAGCCTGACGCGAATCTCAGTACGCTGGGATCATGACATGAGCCAAAGGCAGATGCTTAATCGAATGAGCCACCCAAGTACCCCAACAAATATTTTAATAGTCTTTTAGTAGCAGCTCAATAAAATATCACATCAAAAAGGTTACCTGATTGATAGGGCTGAAAACTGATCAAATCTCCAAGTGCAACAAGTTTCTCCTGTTGAAAAATTTTAGAATCAGAGAAGTAAATGACCACAATTGCTAACTTAATCTATCTTCAATAGAAAAACATTTTGGGTCTTGATTTTTAAGTAACCAACAAATATTTTTAACATGCCACACATTATATAATGTAATGAGTAGGGTCTTCTGTTGATTTCTTCAAGCTCCTATTGCCTCCAGATTGTTTTTAGGAAGAGGATATAAATTGAACCCATAGAAATTCAGTGTATGCCTTAGCCCAGAGGAATAAGTTTTTGGTCATTATCAAAGTCATCACTCTTGTATCTATTTGGACATTACCTGAATGAGATCACTTGTCATTCTGGTCATTATTGGTTCACTGATTTCAATATCTTTGAGATCTGTGAGAACTACCCAAGCTCCATTCTCAAATTTTACAGGCATAGAAAAGACGATCCCTTCAGGAATACCGAACTGGCCTGTAGTAAGCAAATAGAAAGCAAAGCAAAACAGAAGCGCTCAGAACAATAAACCCGTCATGTAAAGCATTGTAGAAAAGGACAGAGATGATACACGATTTTTACTGGTAATGGTGAACTAAATTTTTGAGAATTCCTTTCCCAGGAGGATTGAAACATTTAACCTAGAAATATTGCCTGAGCATCTCTCCCAGTTCGGACAACTCTCTCCTTTGTTACTCTCCGAAAGAAGAACTACTGTTCCCTCTCGTTGCCCCTTCTGCCCCCTCTCATTTGGTTCAGACCCCCTGCCTCTACCTTGGAGGCTCATGCAGTCTTTCTCTTCCATTTTGTCTGGACTCCTTTTGTCTGCTCCCTATGGCCTTTCTTTTCCCCCTCAGTAGCCTAAGACCCCAAGACATTTGTCCACCTGGCCCTGTGTTCTTCTAGCCCACTGTTGTGGTCCCATAACTACAGTGTGAGGCTGGGGTGGGAGAGAGAAGGGGTTGGGGAAGTTGATGATTTCCCAGCAGCTTCCAGGGCCCAGTCTGGATGTGTTCCAAATAAAAAGATGGACAATACTTACTACTAACTATGCAAAATTCAGATAAAGTTGCCCCCCACCGCCTTTTGTGCCTCAATCAAACAAGAAAATTATTCTTGCCATTTTAGTCATCTAAAATGCTGTCAGTAGAACAAAAATGTGAAGATAATGAACAAACCAGGACCTAAAAGGCCTTTCCTTAAAGGGCTTCTGTAGTTCTCTGCTCACTCTCTTTTTTATCTATAAAGAACCAACCTTATGGGTGGACAGCATACGACAGTATAACTACATGGTTTCAGGGAGACAGGGATTACCTGCTCTTCACCTCCAATATTGCATTGTTTATTGGTAAACTACTACAGAGATTAATTAAACTGTTAGCAAATAAAGATAAGGTTTTAAATGCCTATTACACTAAAAAGGTAACATACTGATTTGATTCACCCTATTTATTAAAAGCACACCCATATACCTTACTGCAACTGAAACAAGATTTGCTCAGTGTCTAACTGTGAAGGAAGACCCAGCCAAAGCCCTGGCCCCAGGGTGTATGCACTCTAACGGAGGGGACTTACACAAGGAACCACACCACCAATGAGACGGCTGGAATGTGCTCCCTGACAGAGGAACAAAGTGCTATTCATTTACAGAGGAGAGATAGATGACTTCTGACTTGGGGGATTTGGAGAGATTTCCTTGATCTGCACCGTTAGCCCTGGAGTAAAAGGCAGGATGGTGGTTCCACTAATAACATAAGGAACACAAGAGGTGGATTGAATTGGAGAGGAAAGACAATGAGTTTGGTTTGGTGTATGTCGGTCTGAGGTGACCACATGATGTTCAGGTGGCAGTGTGAAGAGAGGCTGAGGCGGGAAGCTTTAGTGGTGAATGAGTTTACACAGGGAGAGAGTAAAACACAATGGAAGAGATGTTTTAGATGGAACCCAGAACCCAGAACATCATCTCTTCTCGCATTCCTGCGCTTCAAAAACAGTTGAAGTCCCCTGAAATAGTTTTTAGCAGATGAAAGCAGTGAGGCTGTAAAAATACATCTCCAATGAAGACATACAAATGGCGATCAGACACATGAAAAAATGTTCATCATCACTAGCCATCAGGGAGATTCAAATTAAAACCACATTGAGATACCACCTTACACCAGTTAGAATGGCCAAAATTAGCAAGACAGGAAACAATGTGTGCTGGAGAGGATGTGGAGAAAGGGAACCCTCTTACACTGTTGGTGGGAATGCAAGTTGGTGCAGCCACTTTGGAGAACAGTGTGGAGATTCCTTAAGAAATTAAAAATAGAGCTTCCCTATGACCCTGCCATTGCACTACTGGGTATTTACCCCAAATATACAGATGTAGTGAAAAGAAGGGCCATCTGTACCCCAATGTTTATAGCAGCAATGGCCACGGTCGCCAAACTGTGGAAAGAACCAAGATGCCCTTCAACGGACGAATGGATAAGGAAGATGTGGTCCATATACACTATGGAGTATTATGCCTCCGTCAGAAAGGATGAATACCCAACTTTTGTAGCAACATGGACGGGACTGGAAGAGATTATGCTGAGTGAAATAAGCCAAGCAGAGAGAGTCAATTATCATATGGTTTCACTTATTTGTGGAGCATAAGAAATAACATGGAGGACATGAGGAGATGGAGAGGAGAAGGGATTTGAGGGAAATCGGTGAGGGAGATGAACCATGGGAGACTATAGACTCTGAAAAACAATCTGAGGGTTTTGAAGGGGTGGGGAGTGGGAGGTTGGGGGAGCCTGGTGGTGGGTATCATGGAGGGCACATACTGCATGTGCACATATAGCACTGGGTGTGGTGCATAAACAATGAATTCTGTTACACTGAAATTAAATAAAAAAATACATATACAGTATTTGCAGCTAGAGAGCAAGCTTTCCATGTTCCCACTGGTGCCCTAAGGTCTGCATCCTGATGTGCCCTTCATATCCTGACCCCACACCTTAGCCACAGTGGTCCCTGGGGGAAGTTCTTCCCACACTAGTCTGTCAGGTAAACACTACTCAGACTTGAAGGCTTCCTGGAGGGTCACCACCTTATTGAAGTCTGTCCTGATTCTTCCTGCCGTCTCCCTAAAATCGACCTTGTTTTCCCTTCCTCAGCTGGGATACAGTGAGAACAGCTTAGTGGAACTTGAGTTTTTTTAGCTGGCTCTTCTTCCCTCTGCTCTAGGTCTCCTAAAGGCAGCAGCGCTGTGCCTGTTCCCTGTGCACTCACACAAAACATCACAGAATTTCTGAATGGATGAGTGCATGAATGAATGAATACGTGAATATGAAACTGGAAATCCAACAGCTTACAGACCAGGTAAGGCAGAAGGCGGGGACACAGAAGCAGGAGCGTAGGTATACACGGTGGTCTGAAAGTAATACCAGATAAAAACAAACCAACCAACCCAGATTTACCTTCACTTAGTACTCCTAAAGACACGATCTCCCCAGGTGGTGAGCCATGGTACCAGTATTTCAATGTAGTAGCTATACTGTGCGCAGCCAAGATGGCTCCAAATTGTTTTCCTGTGGCTGTCACCTTTTTAAGAGTTTCTACATATTGTCTGTTTACCCACTCACTGTAAGGAAAGAAAGAAATGATTTTACGATGGAGGGAGGAATGGGAATGAAACAATGCTCCTTGGGTCAATGGATCTCAGTATAAGAAATCATCTCCATAAAAGAGAAATATGACTTCCTGTGCACCTTCCTTCTTCAAGCTTTTTCAATCCTGTAAAAGGTCAATCAAAAAGTAATGAAATATCACAGAAAGGAATCCCGAAGTGTCAAATGATAAACAAATGAAATATAGGAACACAGAAAAAGTAGTCAGACTGCAAGAACAGTTACTCTCATTACAAAGAATATATTTTATGCAGATGTTATCTTGGAACCAGTGGTATCCTTTATCTTAAAGAAAAGGATATCCTAACACATTGAATTATGCACATTGAGAACTGGGGAAATAACTAAGTCTTTGTTATCATCTAAAGTTCAAATTCAGGGAGTAGTCCAGCTGATAAAGGGCTGTTCCTACTAAGCCAGCGCCTACAGCTCCAGAAGACACTGCCTTTACCCAAAGGAAACAGGCACCAGGAGGGTGGGCTTGGGGGCACACCATTTCTGAGCATGGATGAAGTATCCCTGGCCTGAAGCAGGGGCAATGGAAAGGAAGTGTTACAGCTGGAAAGGGGCTGCAAAGCTTAGAAAGAGGCTTCAGAGCCGCTCCTTCCCTTCTCTCCTCCCCAGCCCAGTCATAAAGATAGTGCTGACTGCAGTGGGGGGAGGGTTCTTGGGGCTGTACCAAGCCATTTCATATCCCTAACGACCCTGTAAGACTCAGACTATGAGACCATTTCCATTTTGCAGATGAAAAACCTGAGGCACAGAGAGGTTACATAAAATCTCTAAAGTCACACAGCTAGGAAGTAGCTGCTTGAAAATCCCAACCCAGGCGGCTTGGTTCTAGAGATCGTGCTCTTTCCCAGTCCTCGGTCCTGCCTCTGCTGGGACAGAACGTCCAGCATGGCCAGGGCCCGCTCACTGTCTTAATTCCTTATTCTTGAAAATGTTTCCACCAATTTCAATTTGGATACATGTCTCTCTCTGTGTGTTAAATAAGACTCATTTTGCATATGCTTGCTTTAGAGATAAATTTAAAGGGCTATGTGAGCTACTTTAGGGATACTCTGAAATATAAAAATTCATAATTGCAAAATCAAATAAATTGGGCGTGGGGATTGGCCAGTTGTGATTCCGTGGAATTTTCTGTATCTTCAATAGAGCACGTAAACAAAGGTGAGTATGAACAATGCCGATGTCACATCATTGTTGTACAAAGACTTCTAAGATGATTTAAAGAATTATAACAACCATTATATCCAACATTGTCAGTATACCTCACTTAAAAATATACCTTACCTATCAAAAACCAAGCTCAAAACAGGGCGTGAATAGTTAGGAGGTCCCCAAATAGCACTCTCATATCTGTAAATCCTGGCTTTTCTCAGATCAATGTAGTTGTTTCCACTAATATTACCCCAAACTATCACATTTTTGATGCCTGTGAAGAAAAAGAAATTTAAAATTAACATAATAATGCACATGAATAGAAAAAAAATGGCCTGTACTCTATTTTTTGTTTGTTTTAGGGTTGATCTTTTTGCTATAAAATGATCTACGTTTATGTTTCCCCCGAATGTACAAATGACATGGATGATTTCTTGGATCATCAGGGTTTGGCAATTCCTAATCATGCTCATGTGTAGACCATATAAGTGAGTTCAAGAAATACTGAAATGCTCCCTGGAAGACATTGCTACTGAAAATTATACCACTGGTGTGGTCCTAATGTAAACACTCTGCTTAGAGTGTTTAGAACTTTTTATCTGCTTTGGTTCTGACAAAGAGTTCTTGATTCTAGACTGGAATAGAAATTTGGGCAAATCGCTTAACACCTGGATGGGTTTCATTTCCTTGCAGAAGGAAGGCGTTATAATGAGAGGACCCCAGGAACATTCTAATCAATAAGTAATTGAATTAGATTCTGTGTGTGAGGCATTTTAAGTGGAAGGTTTAGAAGGAAACACATCACCCCAAACCCTTGCAGCATTCTGGGGGTGGAGGGGAGCAGGTAAGAAAACAACTACTATACAAAGTGATATGTACTGTGAAGGAAAATAAGAGGATAGGGGTTAGACAGAAATAGGGATTAAAATCTCTATGATTCTAAAGCTGTGGATCTTCTAGGAATGTTGTAACTGAAGTGAAAATAAGTAATTTTATTGGTTTATTAACTCATTTATTTGCTTAAAGACTTTCCAAAGTCTAACCACTTCCTACGGTGGAGATTAAATTCTCTACTGTTATGCATGAGGTAAGATTGCTGTGTGGTTTCTGACTTGGCTTATCTAGGAGTTCACTTTTCTCAGACAATAACAAGTTGAGGTAGGCAGTAACACTGGTGGTTGCTCAGCAGCGCAAAGATGCTATTCTCTTGGCCTGCCCCTCATGGTCCTAAAACAGCTGCAGCAGCTCCAAGTATCACATTCTCACATGGTTGTGTTCAAAGGCAGGCAGTAGGGAAAAGAATTTTTCTTATCAGACTTCAGGCTCTATATAGCTCTGCTAGAGAAAATCATAGTGGACATCTGCTGTTTTTCCTCCTAACATTGCTTCCTACTGTTTTTCTTTAACAGCATCCCGGTTTTCCTTTAAATAACTACCCTTTCTCAATTTCAGTCCATATGGCTTGGGTGGGGCTGTCCTCACCCCTCAGGTCTATCAATAGGCATGAGTCCCAGATTCCAGACTCCTGGCCATGACGATTGATTTGGAGATGGGAAAATGGCCCAAGCCTGGCCAATGAGATATTATTTTGCTACTTTTGTACACTCCAGAGAGCAAGCCCTCTTTCTCCAGGGGTAAGCTCAGCTATGAATGTATGAGTCTGGAAACACCAGTGGACACTTTGCCGCTTTGTACAGAGAGCCTGACTGAGAATCAAACCAATGCTGAGGAAAGTAGAACAGAGCAATAGATCAAGAGAGAGCGCAAGTCAGTCCTGATGTCGTCAATGGAGCCTCAGCATCCACCTATGCCTGAAAAAAAGCTCTCTCTCTGACTAGCCTCTTTGAGTGGACTTGCTGTCACTTGCAACAGAGTTTCAACCAACCCAATGCACATGGTCTGATGTCACACATAACAGAGTTATGTGTGAACAAAACTCAAGGGATATCCTGGAAAGATCTGTTACCTTCTTGGGATCTGGGCTCTTCCCTGAATGACTCTCCTTGATGTCAAGGAGACATCATTGGTGTTAGTTCCCCTTGCTCAACTGGCGTTGTTGGCTATGCTCTGCAGACCATTCCCATTGACTGCTGTCCCTCCAAAGTCTCTCTTTTCTTTACCCAACATTTCTCCACTTCTCTTTCTTCTGCTTCTCATATGCTTATTGGCTTTGGGTACAGGAGAGCATACAATTTATGGCACCACCAGGCCCATATGAGAGCAGCTTTCTGGTTGAAAGTCCCCACCTTGTTTTAAATTTTGTAACACTGCCTCTTCTTGGCACTTTGATGTCATATCAGATATATCAGAAATCTTTTGTCATAAAGCAGTGTGTACATACCTGTATGTAAGGTTGGCACAGAGATAAAATGATTAGAAAAAAAATTTTTTTTCCTACTGAAAAATTTTATAGTAATTTGGCTAGGGTAATCACTGGTCCTGGGGGTGAAGCACTGAAGACCTGTATGCGGGAATACCAGAAGAGATGGTTCTTGGGCCTCACTGTAAAGCGATGGGTGAAACAGTTCTTGCTATAATGTGTTAGGGGCTCCCCGAAGCCCTTTATAGCCCTGAATTAGAGCATGCCAGGCTTGCATTTCATTGTCTCCCCATTGTCTTGAGGGAATGTCTTGTACCTCTCTGCGTTCTCAATGGGCTTTTTTGCACCTGCTCCATCTCAAGGCACCGACACCTAACATCTTTGTTGAAGATGATAAATGTTTTCCAATACAGCACTCCCCTTTTAAATACAATAATCCATTTTCTGATCTAGTCTCATCCTCATGAGGTTCTGATGTCTTCCAGTTCCAAGACTAATTGGGGGCAGAGGCTGATCAGATAGCAGGACCCTGCGGATAAGTTTAATAACCTTGCAGATGTTACATGGGTGGGGAGTGGGGTGGGGCCATTTAAACATATCCCTGATGATTTTTTTTAAACACGGATTACCTTAAATGATTATTGTTATGAAAAATTGAAATATTAGGTTTCAAATTATAACACGAAAAATAGAAATCTTATTATAGTAAACACTGGTTTAATTTTTTAAATGATGGACAAAGTCAGCCTGTCAGGAAAAACTGTAAGAAAAAAATGTTTGCACCGCAGGCAAATCACACAGTAGGGAGTTCTTTGTATCTGCTTCATACTTTCTATTCCAAATATCTAGAATAATCCTAAGGGGCATGGTATTCTTCCTAGAAGATTTGAAATCACATTGTTGAAAAATAGAAACAGGGGGCACCTAGGTGGCTCAGTGGGTTAAAGCCTCTGCCTTCGGCTCAGGTCATGATCTTGGGGTCCTGGGATCAAGCCCCGCATCGGGCTCTCTGCTCAGCAGGGAGCCTGCTTCCCCCTCTCTCTCTGCCTGCCTCTCTGCCTACTTGTGATCTCTGTCTGTCAAATAAATAAATATAATCTTAAAAAAAAATAGAATCAGAAACAGAAGATCACTCACACGAGGGGGTTGTTCTCAGTTTTCTGGCCAGTGCAGCTCTAGCTTGGCCTTCCACACCCAGCGCCACGGCGATGATGTTGTGGGCCACATTTGGGGCGTATCTCATAAGCAGAAATGTTTTAAGATTCACAAATGTTTTTCCTCCCACAATAACTCTGACGGAATCGTGAGCATTTTTCTCGATCAGGTATCCATAGAGCCTACACAGAGGAAGCCGGCTTCGGATGCAGTCTTCTAGACTGTATACCTCCCGGTCAGTGTTCTCATCCAGGATGATGATCACGTGGGCCTGGCGGAAGGCGTCCTCCACTTGGGTGCAGATGGAGATGCTCTGGAGCAAGGGGGCCACCAGGTCGCGTGTCTCTGTCACGATAATGTGGAGATCTTCTATTGCCTGCTTATCGTCAAGTAGATTCAGGCTAATTTCCGTGTGCATTCCAAATACTTCGCCACTTGTCAAGATGGGAATTAGGTTGTAGCAGACACGACCAGATGCACTAATAAAAATGCAAAGCCGGATTATGAACAACAGTTAAATCTTTTGTTCCTGCTAAGCCTTTATTCTTAATAGATATTTCTGCAGGTGCATTAATAGGGTGGTTTAATATCTTAAATAGACACAGATTTTTTAAGGCAAGAAAGCAAAAGTTGAGCAAAAATTCTTGCTACTAATCCCTTGTTCTGGCCATCTGAAAACAATCCCCAAATAAGAAATGTACTTGTTTAAAAGACTTTTCAAATAAAATAGAATATGGAGAAAGCAACATTTAAAAGAATGGTTTCATAGTACTTTAATTACATATTTACATTTTCTTATAAAAAGGCAAGGAAATAACAAGTTTTATTTAACCATAGCTCTTTCCTACTTTATACTTTCATCTATAAAGTGATGACATTTTTTGGGGAGAGGACTGTCTCTTCCAAATCCTTGTAAAGAAGTCTAGGATCAGCCTAGGCTAGGTATCATGTATCTGTACCCACAACTCAGCAAGTATCTGGGCACTCTGTAGCTTGGCTACCAATCGACAGGAGTAATCTGCCCGATGGGAGTTTGGAAATGCATCTGGGCCTTTTTGATTTTCACAGTGGGTTTAGGGAAGGGTTCAATGAAGGTTTCATCTGTATCTGTACCATTTTAATCATTTAAAAATATCTAAAGGAGATGCAATATTTATTAAATCTGGGTGTGAGGTTCATGTTGTACAATGAGGTTCATCATTTTTAATTCTTTTCTGTATTGAACTATTTCATAACAAATAATTTCCCAAAGAAGCATTATGTTAGGATACATGCAGGTGTAGTAAGAAAGAAGGGCAGTGTGTGAGAGACACAATGAGGGCTGGGGAGGAAGAGAGAGAGCAAGAAGAACAGCAAAGGACACCAAGAGAGAGAGGGAGTGCAGAGACAAAAGGTGCTAATGGAGGTGTGCCCAAGACTGAATGCGGTGAGAAGCAAGAGATAAGAAAAAGGAAGAAGGAGCAAAACTGAGGTGTAGTAATAAACCCTGACAGGTTTGCTTTCTGTTTTTTATAAGTTTTGATTGCTGAGGAGGTATCTGCTTCAAAGATGTCTATGTGTCATAAATGCACTGCCAGCCACACCACTCTGGAGCTAGGGGTCCTCCCACTCTGAGGCTCCATTGTTTTAGAGATCTCTGATGTCAATAACCAGCCAGCTGGACCACCTGTTTTTTCTCTTTCCAAGCTGGAAGTTTCCAGTCCTAAGTTTTAAATTCAGCAATTTAAAATTTTTGAGTGAGCCCACAAAACCTAAGTCCCCCACTCTCAACCCCAATAAAAGCAACGTCCCAGGCCCACGTGGGCTCACATGTTCTCTCTCTCTCTCTCTCTCTCTGTCTCTCTCTCCCCACCCGTGACTTCACTGTGTGGCTTCAGGGGTGCCATGTCATTTCCACGATATATAGGTAACAAACCCCTTTTCCCCAGGTTTCCTGATGGTTATTGCTAAGGGGGTCTTGCAAATATAATAAGAGCCACGGGCTGGTCCAGCCACACATTGGTTACTGAGGCCAGCACACAACAGGAGGATAGCCCTAGCAAGTGGGAAAGAGTGGGAGGACGGCAGGCAGTGCGACCAGAATGGGGAAAGGAAAAAGAAAGTGAGGGAATGGGAGGGAAGGGTGGCAGGGCGAAGAGTAAGAAGGCAAGCAGCAGACAGCAGGAGAGACACAGAATGAGGGGACAAGAGCTAAGGACAGCGTTATTGACATAATGATCTTTGCTATATAGTTGCTCTTAGATTTCATACGTGTGTGTATATACACATACCTATAATCTAAAACTTAAATATGAAGCTATATTGGGGGATATATATGTAGATATTCACATATCTATACATGTACATATCTATACATATGGATCTCAAACTTGAGATTCAGATGTTCTTCCACCATGGATTGAATCCCTTATTATTGTCCTTTCTAAATAACACCCAGTCTCATGAATCCTGGAGTTTGACTGTCCCACCTGGTGATCCAAACCTGCAAAGGGTGGATGAGATCTTTCCTGGTTTCTTCCTCCAGTTCTTTTTCCTTATGTGTCTCCAGGTTCTCTTGAGCAATTAACTTCATCAGCTCAGTGGTCATGCTAGAGGTGACACCATAGTAAAGCTAAATATTAGGAAAGAAAATGTCAACACTGACAATGATTATAATGGAAAGTTCTTGTTTAAAGGCAGAACAGAATAGAGAGAGCACTAGAGGGTACTATGCTAAGCGAAACAAATCAATCAGAGAAAGACAATTATCATATGATCTCTCTGATATGAGGAATTTGAGAGGTGGGGTGGGAGGGTCATGAGGGTTAGGGAAGGAAAAAATGAAACAATATGGGGCCAGGGAGGGAGACAAACCATAAGAGACTCTTAATGTCAGGAAACAAACTGAGGGTTGCTGGGGTGTGGGGGGAAGGATAGGGTGGCTGAGTTATTAACCACATAACTGAGGTTATGTGCTATGGTGAGTGCTGTGAATTGTGTAAGACTGATGATTCACAGACTTGTACCCCTGAAGCAAATAATACATTATATGTTAATTAAAAAAATGAAAAAAAAAAGAATAAAGAGAACAGAGAGAATGCTTTGGAAAGCAAGACATTTGAAGAAGACACGAGAGAATGGTAATGTTTTGAGCAGACAAACAAAATTAATCCATATACCTGGGCATATTCCAGGAATTCGTTATATCCTCCTAAAAGCAACCCCTTTCCTCCACGATCCAACAGCTCTCTCCAAATGATGGGGGACTTTTTGTGACTCCACTTATTCTTTTCACACAGATCTTTTAACCACTCCTATTGAATGATATTTCAAGAGAAGTCATCCATTGAATCTGTCTCAGAATTCGGTTCCATACTGCAGAATTCAAACACAAACTACCTTGTTTTTTATTTGCCCCCACCACTGAGTATACATAATAAAATTTAGATATCTTTACACTATAAAATGTAAATAGAGAAATTAGTGGTGAGTAAAATAACTAATTAATCAAATACGAAAGACTTCTTCAAATTTGTTGACCAAGTAAAGGTACTTAAAGTTGCTCTCTTTGCCGAGGAGACCGGGAATGCAAGTGGTTAGCTTAAAAGAGAAGCCAAGTCTTCCAAGTTATCTGATTAAAAAAAAATTCAACTGGTTCTTCCTTTGCTCTTCTATGTGAGATATTTCCAGTCTTAGGGCCACCTAAATTTGATATTACTGTTTAAATATGTGGGTATGAATTAATGAGTTAAAATTTATCTCTGGATTTATAACAGTATTCATTAGAGAAAGTTTAAATCATTAATATTTGGTTTGTTTAGACCAGGCCTTCCAATGACAAGAGCTGAGTAGACAGAGAGCAACATTCTTGTGAGTAAAGTACATGACAACATTCTTGTCATTGGAGGCATGGATAATGAGGCTACCTTACACATAAAATCTTAGAAACTAATTTCTCTTGATGATGTTGAAGATCTCTCTTCTGCTTTTATCTTCCTTTAAAGCAAATAATGCTGCTGTGAGGATTCCCCATGGTTCCCCTAATCATTACATAGCCTGACCAGTGAAGTGCTGGGCCTCTGGAGGAAAGGGACTCTGCCCCAAAGGACCTTCAGCATGAAGTGGGGGCATGTTGACATCTTGGTAAGACTGGGGGAATAAGTATAGGACTGGACTCTGAGGGTGCCGAATCAAGAGTTGAATATAAAGTTGGACAAAGGAGAATTTATCAGTGTAAATCACTCTTCCACAACCCAAGGCTGCATATCCCGGGAAGCGCTCAGAAGACAGTGGTAACACATTGCTAGGATGGCTCTCCAGAGCTTGGACAAAGTGATGGTTCATGTTAAATGAAACAGGAATGCCAGAACACCACAGAAGACAATGTGAGAAGGAATCAGAAAGCTTAGAAAAATAGGCATGCTGGAGTGGATATGCTACTATGGAAGACTAGAAGCCTACTAGTCCATTACGTTCTCCAGAAGGGCCTGAAGGATGACCACATTCATCAAAATGATAAGGACTGCTGTCCACCCTAGGACAGAGCTATTGAGGAACATGCTGTTATAGAGCTGGACTCCCCAGCGGAATCAAGGAGGATAGAATCCTGAAATAAAAAAGGCTGGGGGCAGTGCCCACCAGAGGACATCTATTGTGATAAAAGCACGGGAAAATCCAGCAGATAAAGTCATTTTGCTAAGGCACAATGGGTTCACAAAAGAGACAGAGGTTATGCCACAGCCCTAGAGAACAAGCCACCACTCACCAAAGCTGATCGAGCCACTGTTGCGGCTAAGTGTCCAATGTGCTGGCAACAGAGACCAATACTGACTCTGATAATGGCACTATCCCTCAAAGACACTAACCAGCCTCTTAGCGGCAAGCTGATTGCATTTCACCCCTTCCATCCTAGAAAGGGCAGTGACTCATCTTGACTGGAATCAACATAGATTCTGGGCAAAGAACTACTTTTTATGCTTATAGGGTTTGACTAGCACCCTGCCCAAGAGCTTAGAAAATGTTCAACCTAGCAACATGGGATTCTGTATAACATCACTTTGAACCACTTTGGAGTAAAGCATGTGTGGGATTGGGCATGTAACCATGGGATGCACTGGCCCTATCATATATTACATCACCTTGTGGCCTGAGAGAGGGATAGGACTGTCCACTGAAGGTGCTTAGAGGTTGCTACCTTATAAGGATAAAGCCCTGTCTTTTGGGATGCAATATACACCATGATTCAGTATAGTGCTTTCCCCACTAGGTGAAACACATGAATCCAGGAACTGAGGGATGGAATTAAGAGTGATCCTGCTTACTATCACTTCCAGTGACCCACTTGGAGAATTTGTGCTTCCCCAAGCCCACTTAACTCTAGCTTCTATGGATCTGGAGGTTTTAAATTCCAGAGGTGCAAGGGTATTTCTATCAGGAAGAGTTCCTTCCATTAAACGTTAAGCTATGGCTACCGTTTGGTCACTTTGAGCTCCTATGCCAAGAGACAACAGTCAAGGAAGGTGCAGCCAAGGAACCATCTTGGAAGGAGTACTTGGCCCTGCTGATCAGGGACATGTGGGCAGGCATCTGGGTGAGCCACTGGGTCATCCTTAGTACTGCCTTGCTCAATTTTGACAGCAAGTGTACACCTGCTGCAGTCACATCCAGTCACATCCTGGGAAACTAGGACTCAGACCCCTGAAGATACAGGGGTACCTATACCTAGACCAGCAGAGGGGGAGGGGGGTCAACACTGGATCATAGATAAGAACAGAGATGAGTGTCAGTTACAGCCCTAAAATGATGTGCCGTAGAGACTATGGTTTCTTTCACTGACTATCCTCTTGTCAAGTTTCCCCAGGGAAAGACACCAACCAGAACCCCAGAAGAGCTGTTCCCAGATGGTGTGAACTTATATGGAGCATGTAGATCCAAAAGACACAACAACTGTTGAGCTGTAGCAGATCCTGTCATATGTCATTCAGATTCCCCCTTTATGACTGAGACACTCATTCCCTGGGTCACACGACGGCTCAGTGCTGAGTCTCTCTCCAGGAAATGACCTCAGAGAGGTTCCCTGGCCTAGTGTTAAGTCCCCTGCCCAGAAGCAGCCTGCATCCAAGGACTGTTAGTTGTGTCAGTACAAAAGCCCTGCTCCCTTGTCTGTATTTGAGGTATCTCTGAAGGGCCACCCCAGCTTCAGAGGTCAGGGCTGGCTGAGCCCTCTGCCATAGCACCACAGTGGTTCAAACCTCTCCCACTGTACAGCTCCGCTGTCCTCATTCCTTCCCAAGGCGTTGTTCCTGAGGGTACCTGTACCCCACCCCCTCCAGTAAAGGAAACTCCTTCCCCCAAATCCCTGTCTCTTTGTGGGGAAACACAGTCCCAAAGAAGGGTATTTCAAATAAGCAAGTGCTTCATGTCAGAAATCAAATGAAGGAGAATGAAATGTTAAAAAGGATAATATAGGTTACCTGGATTCTTGGGAGAAAAAAACAGCTAAATATATTCTACTGATTGGTTAGGGCCTCATTTGTTTTACTAGGTGCGAGGAAAAAGACACATAATGTTCTGAGACTGCTAAGTAGGAATTAACTTTATTAGTGTTAAAGTATCAGTAGAACATGAACATCCATTATTGGAGGTCCATCTGATACACTGGCTAATATTTCATTAAATCAGAACACATTTTTGTGAGTGTGTGAGTTTAACAAACAACAAAGGCTTCTTACCTCCCAAACCTGAGGATGCTGTGTAATTTTATGTACCCGAAAATCAGGAAGACTCTTTTGTAAGTAGTCTGCTAGGAGTTCTGCTTTAGCATAATATGGGCAATCCGCTCTACCTAAAAGAGTTCAAATTTGCAACATTTTCTCATATCACACAGAAACCATCGTGTAGTTATAAGTATTTGTCATATAATTATAGAACTAATCATATAGTTATGATACATTTTATAACATAGAATAATAGTATAAACTGCCACCATATAAACTTCTGATTTTTATAATAGGAGGTCAAAATCTTAAGTAATAAAATGTGGAAAGAAGAAAAGGCTATTGGATATTTACTCTCCTCCAGTAGTATGCTAGACCTCACATTCTCTAAGGGGCTGCCATGCTACTAACTAAGCATGAACTACGAATAATGACCTACTCATTAGTAGCCACTAAAAGGCAAAGGGTGAAGTGAGGAGTGGTGGTAAAATCACATGTAGATTTGATATGTGTTGTGGGGAGTGGTACTGCGGGGGCGGGGAAGAGAAGCTGAGGGAGAGAAAAAAGTCTGGGATAACTCCTAATTTCTGGCTTGGGTAGATGATCCTGCACTTACTGGACAGAAGCCACAGCTAAGACATTTAATTACAGATAAGTGCAGCTGGAGGTGTGTGCAGTCTATCTAAGTGGATATGCTCAGCAGGTAGCTGTACCTATAAGTCTGAAGTGCAGGCCCCATGCAAGGGCCTCAGAGACATATTTTGCAGCCATCAACACGCAGGAAGATAAAGCCACCAGAGTAGATGGATTGGATATCTGATGGGAGTAGGGGGGACAGAAGCCCTTTGCAACAGTCTTCCCCAGTTACTCCCAGTCATGAGTTCTTCCACTTCATAGTGACTTCTAAATCATCAGCCCTCTCAACCACTCCCTGTCTGTTGGCCTCCCTGTTTAGTTCAAATCCATGGTTCATGAATTCAAACCACACTCTGGCTCATGTTTTAAATTATCTTGCCCCACTATGTTTCTGGCAAATCAGCTTGGTAAAAGCTTCTCGCCCTGGATGAACACAGTTACCTGCCCTTTCTGTTTCTAGGCACCCCTGGAGAAACATGGTAGAAGCAAGCAGAGAGGTGCCATTATGAATTCATGGTCACCAGCCTCAACTGGCCTTCAACTCTGCCTGGAGATCCTTCTGTTTTCCTTAACAGCACTCTCTTCTGTTCTCCACAATTTCCATTCCAAACGTGGCCCACTTCTTGCAAACCTCTTCCTTCTCTCCATTTTCCCACACTGTCGGAAGAGATAAACTTGCTTTCTGTTTTATAAAACCAAAACCAAATCAGGGATGCCTGGGTGGCTCAGCGGTTTAAGCGTCTGCCTTCGGCTTAGGTCATGACACCAGGGTTCTGGGATCAAGTCCCGCATTGGGCTCCTTGCTAAGTGGGGAGCCTGCTTCTCCCCTGCCTGCTGCTCTCCTTGCTTGTGCTCTCTTCCTCTCTCTAACATAATAAATAAATAAAAATCTTTAAAAAAAGAGTGATCTAAAAACAAAACCAAGTCATACAAAATGTCATCATTTGGGGAATCCCCTAACCTCCTGCTATCATACCTTCAAGCCTTTCTGCATCTGGACTCATCCTTTCCTTCTTTCTCCTTTTCATGGAAGGCAGCTTCTACTTCCTGTTCAGCTCTAACCTCACCGCATAGGCACTAAACACCACCCTCTTCCTCCCTCAGAACTGCCGCCAACTCTGCTTAATTGATTAACATCTCTTTTACCATCTTATCCCTATTCTTTTTTTTTTTTTAAGATTTATTTATTTGTTTGTTTGACAGAGAGCTAGAGATCACAAGTAGGCAGAGAGGCAGGCAGAGAGAGAGGGGGAAGCAGGCTCCCTGCTGAGCAGTGAGCCCCATGAGGGGCTCGATCCCAGTACCTGAGATCACGACCTGAGCCGAAGGCAGAAGCTTAACCCACTGAGCCACTCAGGTACCCCCATCTTATTCCTATTCTTAATGGTCCTTTCCCTTCCTATTTAATACAGTCAGGTTACATTTATATTTCTCCTGTCTTAAGAAACAAAGTGTATGTCCCTCTCTAGCTATTGTGTTCCACCTGTCTTCTTCTATTAAAACTTCTTGAGAAATTTCTCTGCACTTGCCATCCCCAGTTCTCAATTTCCATTTACTTCCCATCCCCCTGCAACCTGGCTTTCACCACAGTTCTCTAGAGGCTTATCGAGGACCTCCATGTCACTCCATTCAACGGATACATTTTGATCCTTTTCTTGTAGACATTTTCTTGTTAGCATTTGCCTTCTTCCACCTCTCTGAAACACCCACTATGTTGGGTTCATTCTTCAGGTTTTCATCCTACTTTTCTGGTCATTCTCACTATACTTTGTAGGTTCTTATTCCTTTAGCGATCCACTAAAAGGTTAGCATTCTTCAAAGAATCTGCATACTCTCTGCATTCTTCCTGGCTGATTTCCATTTCCTGGATTCAAGTAGCAATCTGCACACCAAGTTTTGAGCTATCACCTTATTTAGATGTTTATACCTTCCTGTATTTTTCCATCTCCCTCTGAATGTCTCATAGGCCTCAGCATATCGAGGGTAGATTTTGCCACAGCTCCCCCACTAAATTTGGTCCTTCTCTTATGTTCTTTATGTTCAGTTATTTAAGAGAATTAGGAATATCCAGAGTATTAAGACTACTCTTCAACTTTTTTTTTTTTTAATGACTCATCAGCCCATTTTCCCAAACCACTGATTGGAAATAATTTTAATTCTTTCTTTTCCCTTGCCTTCCTTCACCCAATCAGACATTCAGTTCTATGAATTCAGCCTCCCTAGTATCTCTCCAGTCCACTCAATTCCTTCCATTTTCATTGCCTACCATCCTAGGCCAGGCCACCACTATCTCCTTTCTGGACTATTGCAACTAACTGGGGTCTTGGCATCTAATCTTTGTCTTTCCATAGAGAACACCATTCAAATAAAATGCAAATTTGATTATGTCCTCTCCTTCCAAAAAAAGCCTTCTATGTACTTTGGATAAAGTTTGGAACACTGAACATGGCTCATAAGAATCTCTATCTAATTCTGGCTTCAGCCTATGATACTCTCTTTCTTGTACCCTTTGCTACAATCCTACTAAATCTATTTCCATTTTCTAGCATTCCTCATTCCAACCTCAACCCTGCCACCTATCCGTTAATCACTCTCTTCTTCCCTACCTCCTTTCCAGTAGGTAACTCTGCTTGAAGATCTACTCTTAAAAAACCACTCCCTCTGGGAAGGCTTTGCCTGACTAAAGGCCCCTGCTACTGCTCCTATAGAAACCTCTGCCACTGGCCCACATACAACATTCTTTGTATGTGTCTGTATCGCTGCCTTCCCAATATATAGTCAGTCAGGGCTCAAAAATGTTCTTCTGAATGAATAAAGATGCAAAGGAAATAGATTTCTAGGCAGAAGGGAGATGTCAATTGTGTTAATGCGTCAGAAAGTTCCAGTAAGAACCAGACAGCTTCTGTAAAAGTCATTGGTGACTCTGGTGAAGGCCATTTCTGACAGGAGGCAGAAGTAGTGGAAGAAGTAGTGGAAGAAGGACCTGAAGATACGAAAGCAGTCTACTCTTTCAGGAAACTTGCTGAGAAGGGAAGAAGGTACAATACCCTGTTGTTTTTACTAAGACCCTTTAGTGGTTTTCGGGATGCCAGTGACATTTTCCATCCTTTTCCTCCACTTGCTGACAAAGATGGGCTTCCTAAAATGCAAACCCAATAAAGATATTCTCTTGCTTAAAGAATTTTTAAGACTCGTCATTGCTTTCAGCGAAAACACCTTTGTTTGGTGCACTTTAAGTGCAAGGATCTGGCTGCTTCTCCCACTCTGTCCCTAGATCCGGTCACGTCCTCCATATCTAGTTCCTCCATTAGGCTATGAGACTTATAGCCTCTGTGCCTTTCTCTGGAATGGTCTCCCCATCCCAAACCTTCAAAAATCAGCTCCCGAAACACCTCTCAAGAGCCCTGTGCACATCTGCCTCATTTCATTAATTACAGTGAATCAAAATTACTTGTTTACATGCTTCTGTACTCCGTGAGACTTAAAGTTCCTCGAGGGCCCGGGTATATCTTTTCCCCCACTGTGTCCCCAGTGTCTGGGAGTGCTTTGCCCAGGACCCTGCCCAATAAACATCTTTAAATAAATGCATAAGAAGCCTGGGGTGGTCCATATAGAGGTTGGAGTTGCAAAACAAAAGGCAGTTAAGAAGATCACTGCCCAGAGACCACAGGGGGTGAGTAGTTGTCGATGTTTTGAGCGAACCACGGGCGGACGTGGGGACCACTCACCCGCAAGCACGAATTTGGCCATTTTAAATCCACGACCCACCGGCCACAAGCGCGGCTCGGCGGTTTCCTGGCAACCACGGCGTGGCGCAGGCGCACTCTGAAGCTGAGCGCAGGGTCTGGGACCCTGCCAGAGAGGCTAGGTGTTGGGGCACACGATCATACATTGTCTTTAAAAGCTTCTTGCTTTTCCCTATCCCTGAACCCAAGGAAACTAGTCGCTCTCTTCGGTAAACTTTCTTCCACTGAGCAAACCTCTCCGACTACCGCGAACGTAAGCTTTTTGACCTATGAAGGATCCGTAAAATCTCGCGATACTCCCCTCTCGCTGGAAAGCTGTCATGGCTGCGCCTATATAGACCACGGGGTTCTGACCTCAGGTGAGTGGGCAACGAGAATAGGCGGAGCACTTTGCTGTGCTACACCGTAGACTTCTTGCCTTTGGAGAAGAGTCTCAGGAGTTGCTTGGGCCTTAACTTTAGGGAGGTGGGTTAATACTGGGTGGCCCAGCTTGGGAAATATTATCTCCTAACACTTCAGGAGATCTGGCGATACTGGCCGATTGTGTCACCCTCCCAATCGCAGGCCGCGTGCAAGCATCACTTTGGTTTGTTGTTTCCTCTCCTCAGCGGTTCTTCTTGTCCCAGTCCCTATTCTTAAAGTCCGGGTTTGCCGTTGCTAAATCTTCATGTTAAAAAGGATCCGTCAACGTTAAAACTTTTTCATTGAAGGCATCTCCAAAGCAATGGTAACATAAAATTCCTTTCTTTCTTCCTTTCTTTTTAAATTATTTTTACTAACACATAATGTATTATTTGCCCAGGGGTACAGGTCTGTGAATCATCGGGCTCACACATTTCACAGCACTCACCATAACACATACCCTCCCCGGTGTCCGTAACCCAACCACCCTCTCCCTACCCCCGTCACCCCCCAGCAACCCTCAGTTTGTTTCTGGAGATTAAGAGTCTGTTAAGGTGTTTCTCCCTCCCCGTCCCACCTTGTTTCATTTTTTTTCCTTCCCTACCCTCCACAACCTAACCCCCTTCTCAAATTCCTCATATCAAAGAGATCATATATAAAATCCCTTTCTTAAGAAACTTTGTGGGAACACTTTTCACCAGAAATTTCACTTTATTTATTTTTTAAACTCATTTATACAACGACTACTTCCAAGGTAACCTGGCTTCTCTAAGACAGTTTACACATTGTGGGAGAAGTGGAGGAAGCCCATATTGGTAAAGTGGTTTTACTGTTTTTTTTTTTTTGTCTGTTTGTTTTTTAAGATTTTATTTATTTGACAGAGAGAGCACAAGTAAGCAGAGCGGCAGGCAGAGGGAGAGAGAGAGAAGCAGGCTCTCTGCTGAGCAGGGAGCCCTATGCGGGGCTCTATCCAGGACCCTGGAATCATGACCAGAGCCAAAGGCAGTGCTTAACGGACTGAGCCACCCTGGTGCCCCGTAGTAGTTTTACTGTTTTAATCTTTAAAGTCTCCATAGGTTCCCACTTCGGTGTCTATTAAGTTCATTTCATTTCATTAAGTAAAAGTTTTGCTTTAATTTTTATTCCTTTTATAACTCCTTTCCCTACAGGAAAACAACGGCATTTCTTCTCTTTCACTCCTTCTTGAAGTGGTATTGCATTGGAGACTACTTCAAAGTGACTTGAAAGTGTTTGAGTGGCTAGCACAATGAATAACAGAGCAGGTGCCATTTTATGGAACCTCAGACAATTCAGTACTTTAGTTCCTACAAGCAGAACGATAAGGCTGTATCCTTTGGGATTTTCCAGATCAAAAGTTGTTTATTCAAACTGGAACCCAAGAAACCTTCTTTTAAGTGACTTTGGTAATGGAGTGCAGTCATCTGTTAGGCATCTATTTCAGGATGCCTTAATTTTTAAATCAGGAGATAATTTTCAAACAAAGGGAGTAGGCACTGAAACAGTCCTTACAGTCGACGGACCGCTTTGTCCTAGAAGACTGTCATTTGATTCAAAACACTCTCTTGACCCTGATAATGCATTGAAGAAGGCAGCATTTCATCATAAGGCCTCCAGTGAAGATGTGCTCACCAAGGAAACAAAACCAACCCCTGTCAACAATAAAAAACTGTCTGAGGAGTGTAGTTCTTTGAGTGATGTGTTAGATAAATTTTCAGAACGACCTACATTTCCCAGTAGTAACTATTTTTCAGCAATGTGGATAATTGCTAAACGGATGTCTGATGACCAGAAGCGTGTTGAAAAGCAACTAATGGTTAACCACCCTGCATTTAATCAGCTGTGTGAACAAATGATGAGAGAATCCAAGATCATGCATTATGACCACCTGCTGTTCAGTCTTCATGCTATGGTGAAGCTTGGAATTCCTCAGAACACTCTGCTAGTACAGACTTTGCTGAGAGTGGTCCAGGTAAAATCAAAAGGAGATGTAAATATCACTTTACACGGCTGGCACATCTTAAAAGAATGAGAGGGAAATAGAGATGTATCCTCCTTGGAAGAAATTATTCGTGGAATAGGTAGTTTATATTTATTTCTGCATATATATGATTTAGAGACCATAAGTTAACCAGGTCTTTCCTTCCTTTTGCTATGGAAATTTATGAAAGCTTGCACCATTTTTCTTTGCCAGAGGTGACTAATAGTAATAAACTAAAATGAGGAGAGATATCAAATATACAAGAAAAGGTTGGTTAGTTGAAGGTAAGAGAGAAGAGGGGAGAACTAATATTTATTGAGTATCTACACTTTTTACTTATTTAATCCTCTCAATAGCCCTGCCAGGTCAATGTTTACCTCAGTTTTGCAGATGAGGAAACAGATTTAGTGATGTTAAGTGACTTGGCTAAAGTCAAACAGCTAGTGAATTCATTTATTCATATGGTAAACATTTATTTGGTGTCAATTATGTATCAATTTACTACACATGTCACTAGAGAGATTTAGAAGACATGATTCTTGTCCTTATAACGTAAAGGAGAAGACATATTTTGTAGGCAATTGCAAAACTAACCAATGTCATCTAGTAAATCAGACATTAGCTACATTATAGGAACTGAGCTGAGCTCAAGGGAATATACTTATGGACAAAATAATGGCCACAAGAGAGCTTCTAGCACAGTGAAAGAAAAATTCTGTCTTGTAGGAGTATATAACAGACTTCTAACTTAGGAGAAGGCCTTTATGGTGGGAAGAGGAGACAGGAGGAGGATACAGGATTAGAGTTTGAGGCAGAGATATATGTATATAGTTTGAAAACAGAATTGCCTCATTAATCCTCAGTGTACCTTTTAAAACAGTTGCTTTCATCTTACTAGTGATTAGGAAATTTAGGCTTAGGTTAAATATCCTGCCCAAGTTTACCTTTCTGTTAATATCATATTTGTAGGTCTTAATTTGCTGGGTGAATTAACAAACCCCTAGTTCATGGTAGAACAAGGATTTAAGATCAGTATGAGATGATATCCAAGTTGAATCCAAGGAATGAGCAGCAGTTTGTGAGTGAAAGATGGATAGTGAAGGGGGTAGTATTTGAAGAAGAGGATTGCCTCTCCATCCAGAAGAAAAGTTCATCAGGTTTGGGGAGCTGAAAGTAGTTCAGTGGTGCTGAAGTATAAACTGCTGGGGTTATGTGTTTGAGGGAGTAGGGAAGAAATTGTGTAATTCTGACTGGGGAGAAGCAGTTACGGGTGTAGGAGCAAGATCTGAGGCTGGAAACAGGAGGAGGGGGATTAAATCATAAAGAGCCTTTTCTGCCCGCATAAGGAGTTTGGAATTATCATATGGGCACTGGGGGATCCATTGAAGTATTTTAAGCAAAGTGTTTACATGTTCAACTTTATATTTTAGAAATGGACTGGAGGAAGGGTGAAATTGGTTAAAAGAGCCACTTTTAGTTTCAAACAAGGGAGTCAGTGTCCTCTTTGATCTCACTGAAGCACCAGATGTGATGAAGAAATGATAGTCCATTGAAGTAATAATTTACCTTTTAAGGGTGGACATCTCAGACTTCTAGACTCAGTGATCAGAATTAAATAATTTTTAAATTTCTTGAGGATGATCTCATATATAGTCCTATCCTTTTTTTTTTAATTTTTTTTAATTTTTTTTTTTAGATTTTTTTTCTTTTTATTTATTTATTTATTTTTTAAACATATAATATCTTTTTATCCCCAGGGGTACAGGTCTGTGAATCGCCAGGTTTACACACTTCACAGCACTCACCATAGCACATACCCTCCCCAATGTCCATAATCCCACCCCCCCAACCCCCCTCCCCCCATTAACCCTCAGTTTGTTTTGTGAGATTAAGAGTCACTTATGGTTTGTCTCCCTCCCAATCCCATCTTGTTTCATTTATTCTTCTCCTACCCTATCCTTTTTTTTTTCCCTAAGATTTTTATTTATGTATTTACAGACAGAAATCACAAGTAGGCAGAGAGGCAGACAGAGAGAGAGAGGGGGGAAGCAGGCTCCCCAGTGAGCAGAGAGCCTGATATGGGGCTCGATCCCAGGACCCTGAGATCATGACCCGAGCTGAAGGCAGAGGCTTTAACCCACTGAGCCACCTAGGTGCCCCTATAGTCCTATCCTATTATAAAATTAAGTTTTTAAGGATATGAGGTTTTAACTTTAACTTTTTATGTTACTGTGATTTCTGTATGTCCTTCATTAAGAATGAATTTTTATGTGTGTGTGTTTAAACCATACAATATATCCATGTTTATTTGGTAGACTGTATTCCCTATGTAGTTATTTAAAAGTGATTATAATAAGTCACTACCTGGTTGGTAATGCTTTTACTAGATTTTGGACAGGTATCCAAATCAGCATAGCATCTGCGTTGGTCCGGTATGAGTGGATATTTGGAGTCAGAATATATATATGTATGATTGTGTCTCATTGACCTGTTGGAATGTTGTAAAGACATTTTAGCTAAAGATGAAAGGTCAGTAAGTCATTAGTGAATTTGCCTTTTAGCCAAACAGTCTTTTCTTTCACAGCCTTTTCCATTTCCATTTCTACTTCGTACCTGATTTTGACCTGAGACTTTGTGCCTTGTTAGTCATGCCATTTTAGCAAAAGAGCATACCTCTTTCAGCCCAAGTTTCCCACCTGTGATGACAACTACTCTTGTGAGGTGCATGAATTGGTTGTGATTAAATTGTAGAGCACTAAGTAAGCTGTGTCATTACTATTGACTTTCTGAATTATGCCCTCTGCCATTTCTAAAATCTAGATAAGTGCCTCAACCCAAGAGATCTGAAAGAAATCGGAGCCTGGGGCTCCCCTTGATACCCAGATAGTGGTGGTAAAATGTGATAGCAGATGTGGATGAGAAGATTCACAACTGAAGTTACAGTTTGATGCCAGGAAAGCATATAGAGAAGTTATAAGAGGACAGCTGTCTAAGGTTCTTTAGGAATGGACAAATTGCCCCTTGTCTTCATGCTGAGTTGAGTCCTAAGAAGAAGTAAAAATTGTGTTTGATAAGAGTTATCTCAGAAGCAGAGGAATGCAATCAATATCAAGTGGGTTTTTAGTGGTAATGGTAAATGTAAAAAATGCGTTGATAGGTAAAAGTGTGTATTGGTTATTTGGAAAATTCACTACATATGACATTTTTTCTCAAATATGTTTATTGTGGGCTGACTATGAATTATTGGTTTGATAATCATTTAATTGAAAGCTTCAGTGCTTTTGCTTAGGTGAGGTAGTCTACAATAGGCTTATCTGCAGTGTTTTTGTAATTTTTTTCAATAGGAACGTATCAATGAGTGTGATGAGAAATGTCTTTCAGTCTTGTCAGCTATTTTAGAGGCAATGGAGCCATGTAAGAATGTGGACGTTCTTCGAGCAGGTTTGCGGTAAGCACTCTCCTATGCTTTCTTCATGTGGCATTCTCTACTCCGTGTATATCTCAGACCAAAAACCACGATGAAAGTTGACTTGCCTTATTTGGGTGGGGAGGGACTTTAATACCTTATTAAACTTAAAATCCTGATTTTGGATCACTAGAAATAATGCTTCTTTTAGGGTCCACCATAATAAAAGTATGGGTGACGTTGAATTCTAAATTGATCTTATAACTGACGTGGGCTAGGAGCACATAGACATGTATTCAGCTCATAACAGTTACTTGGGTACTTTGTGGGATTACATGATAAGGACCTGGCCCAAAAAAGAGCTTGAGTTTTATAATTTATAAAATTAATGCAACTGATCTAATGTCATAGGTCAGTGAGAATAAGACTTAATTTCCTTTGTCTTTGCCTATGCATTGGAATATCTTACTATAATCTCCTGATGTGGTTTGTTTGTTCGTGATAGTAGAATAATGTGAGAGGAAATAGTGCTAGGTTGGTCTTCAATCTTTAACTACTTACATTCCCTTGGGCAGGAAGATTATTTCTGTAGGGTCCATCTTCCTCGCCTAGAAGTAGGAGCTCAACCATATGACTTCTAAAATAATTCTGGTTTTCAGAATTTAGGATTGTGGTATTTATTGTGTTTAATTACAGGATACTAGCTGATCAGCGAGTCTGGAAAATAAAACGTGTCTTTACATTACAAGCTCTGATAAGATGTGTTGGAAAAGATGCACCAATTGCTCTTAAAAGGAAACTGGAGGTAAACACATTTTGAATTTTCTTAAAGTGGGTAAGATTTGAAAAAAAAAAAAAATTTCTTATTATCTGCTCTTAGTTCCTAGACTTTGTTGTGCTTTTAGGTTCAATTTTGCTAGAGTGAAGTAATAGAAGTAGATTTGTATTTATTTGTATATATGAATATACATATTTTTAAAGATTTATTTATTTATTTGAGAGAGAGAAAGAGAGAGAGAATACATGTGGGAGTGAGAGGAGGGGCAGAGGGAGACAGTCTTCAAGCAGACTCCTCGTTGAGTGTTGAGCCCCAACACCAGGCCCACTCTCACCACCCATGAGATCATGACCTGAGCTGAAACCAAGAGTTGGATGCTTAACCCACTGAGCCTCCCAGGTGCCCTGTGTATATAAATGTATATATTTGACCCGTATATTTCTTTGAGTCACTTTGCTCAAACTTTATCCTTTAAACTTAAAAATAAAAGTTTAAATTACTTTGCCAGAGATTATAAATTGAAGTTTGTTTTTCTTTAGATGAAAGCCTTGAGAGAATTAGACAGATTTTCTGATTTGAATAGCCAGCACATGTTTGAAGCATTAGCTGCCATGAATCACCGCTCTGTTGTTCTCCTGGATGAATGCAGTAAGATGGTCATAGGTAAGGGGAATTTTTCTTTCATGATTTTTAGCATCTGACCTACTGTTCTGGACTGTATTTGTTTTAAAAACTTTACTGTTATACAGACAATAACTGATGATATGATTAGATCTAAATTTAATTTTGCCTTTAGTTTTTTTGTGTTTGTCTTTTACAAAATACAGTGCTATATTTTTCTAAAGAAAGAAACATTTTGAGTGCAGAGGATCTTGGATTTTACATTCAAAGCTATCTGGTAATTTTTGTTTGTTTATTTAACTCATTTTTAAAGGTAATATCCATGGGTGTCCTTTTAAAGTACTCATCAACATATTGCAGTCTTGCAGAGACCTCCGGTACCATAATTTAGATCTTTTTAAGGGAATAGCAGATTATGTGGCTACGACTATTGACATCTGGAAGTTAAAGCAAGTAAGTTTGTTAACAGTTTAGAATAAGCCTCAGAAACTTTAAAGAAGCAGATCAATTCATTTAACATTCTGGGTATTTCTGTATCAGCTTTATAGCAGTTAAGAGACCAAAATATTCCGAGTTGAAATGACTTTTGAAAGGATCTCTTTATCATTCTGTCTAGGAGTTTCCTGTTAATATATTATTTAATCTTTTAACCATCTTTCTGAAAGAGAAACTGTGTTGTCCAAAGTTTGTTCTTCTATTTGTTTTTTAAAAGATAGCATGATAATTTGGATAATTAGGATTATTTCTATCTTTCTATTTTTCTTTTTTAGGCTTAGAATAGTAAAAACAGATGATGTGACAGGCTTATGCGTTTTGAAGTGTAAAATGTCGTTACTTAGTGACCATGTCTATCTTCTATTTATGGAAAGTTGTTTTGTTTCTTCCAGAGTAAGAACCTTTAAATTTAGGGGCTGTATTAGTAATAGAAACATCTAATGAAGCAGCTGGTAAAAGCTTCTTTTTGTACTGAAACAGTGGTAATTGTGTTCAGTCCCTAGGTTCACTTTACTTTGGAGGGTAAGGTGCATATTGAGTTTGCCATGAAAATTGGTTTTAGAAAGAGAAATACTAATAATGAGAATCTCCAAGAGGGAAATGAGAAGTGAACTGGAAATTTTAATTTAATCACAGTATATTTAATCTCTGTTCTCATTTGTACAATTCAATATTGAATATAGAAATTTTTGAGTTACCTCTTACATGTTTTGAATGTAGAAACTGTCTAGGTTTGGAAGAAGGAATAGTTCAAAATTGAGTTGGTCATTTTGAAAAACCTTAGAAAGGGTATATTTAAGGTATTTTTAATTATGATATGTTAGTCACCATACAGTGTATCATTAGTTTTTGATGTAGTGTTCCAAGGTTCATTGTTTGTGTATAGTACCCAGTGCTCCATGCAATCTATGCCCTCCTTAATACCCACCACTGGGCTAACCCATCCTCCTCCCCCTCTGCTAAAACCTTCAGTTTGTTTCTTGTAGTCCATAGTCTGTCATGGTTCATCTCTCCCTTGGATTTCCCTCCCTTCATTTCCCCCTTCCTTCTGATGTCCTCCATGCTATTTCTTATGTTCCACAAATAAGTGAAACCATATGATAATTGACTTTCTCTGCTTGATGTATTTCATTCAGCATAATCTCCTCCAGTCCCATCCACGTTGATGCAAAAGCTGGGTATTCATCCTTTCTGATGGCTGAGTAATATTCCATTGTATATTAAGGTAGTTTTTAGATCTGATTTTGTAAGAAAGGATTTATTTTTAAATGAGATGGAATTATGGAAACCATTGTATGCTCTGGTTCTCATTTATGAAAAGGGGTTGCTTATTAATAATATCTAATTCAGGAATTGCTGGAATGGATTTTGTGAGGAAAAGAGAATTTTTCTTTTTAGGGAATATTCTCTTCAGACAGTTCTATTGCTGTTTTAATTTTTTGAGCTCTAAAAAAAATTTCTGGTAGCATTCTATAATTATTAAAAAGTTTTCCCTCAATTCATTCTTTTTTAAAGGTTATCTTTCTCCTCATTTTATTTGAAAACCTTGGCTTTCGACACACTGATCTGATGGACGTGTTCATGAAGAAAGTGATAGCTGATCCTGCGTCTTTAAACATGAAAAGCATTATCAGTATTCTTCATGTGTATTCTTCTCTCAATCACTTCTACAAATGCCAGACCTCAGAGTATGTACTGGTTCTTTAAAAATTTTTTTTTATCGCCACATAACATACTTCAAGGAAAGGTTACGTGTTATCATAAGCTTAATTGTTACTTGTAACATTGTTACAAGTGAGCACATCCGTGGTTGTCATCTGTAGCAAGAAACAAGGCTTGGTGGTCTTTATTTGTGAAGTTTTTTTTGCTGTGTTTTTTGTTTTTTTTTTCCTTGTCATCTTGCTTGTTTCTTTGTTCTTTATGGTTTTATTTGTTAATTCATTATAGGAGTCTTCATTTGAAACTCTCCTAGCTTATTCCCTCAGCCCCTGAGTTCATAGTTCAGTTTTGACCGTGACTGTTCATTTGGTCCCAAATTACTGCTTTCTGTAATTTTCATTTTTAACCACAACCTTGCATTTCTACTATGAAATACAGCAGTTCCTCAGACATGCTGGGCTCTTTCCTACCTCTACTTTCCACCCAGAACATCTTTTCTACCTCTCTGGATCAGTTTGAGTTCACTAAAAATGAAAGAAAATGTATGTAAGATGCCATTTTTGTAGAAGCGCAGACTCTGGAGATGTATTGCTTGGGTTTGAAGCCCGGCTCTGCCATTCATAAGCTACTTAACTTTTGGCAAGCCACTGATCTGTGTTTGGGTTTCTGCATCTGTTAAAATGGGGAGAAGACGTAAGAGTTACTCCTAATCACATTGAGTCTTTAAGAGGATTAAGTGGGTGAATCTGTGTAAAAGAGTTGCAGGGTAGCCACAGGATGGCAGGAATAAACTAGACCAGTTCCGAGGGTCTCAGTGGCAGGAGTCACAGTCTCCGCCATCAGGTGAGCGACTTCAGTGGCTTTCTGTCCTTGGGGTTTCCGTCAGGATTCGGATTTCTAAAAGAGGAGATCTGATTGAGTTTGGGTCCCACACCCTCCCTTTGGAGTACGTACCCAAAGAAGGGCTGGCCTCCAGCTGCCCGCCGTAGCCTGCACTGTACTGAAGAACTTGGCTCGTGCCGCATTTCCTGTGCCTTCCCTGCTTGTCACACCTTATATGACTCTCTGGTTGAACCTTGACACAGAGCTGGGATTATTTGTCAGAAAGCCTGTGTCTGCTTCTCAGCTGGAAGGCTCTCCAGAGTCAGACCCAGGTTCTTGTTATTCTGAATTTAGCACAAGACCTGGCACAGAATAGGCATCTAATGAAGGTTTCCAAGTATCCCCCAAATTTCGTTGTCTTCTGTTCCCCTCGATTGGTTTTCTTCTGAGGCTGGCTCCCATGTACCTTTAGCACTTTCTTGACAGCGTCAAGCTGAGTGATAAGTAGAACTCCAGGAACAGCCACACAGATTCCATGGCATTAGGAGAACAAACACTGGGTGGTTAAGGAGTTTTTCAGTTCACTGTGGCCATCCCAAGAGACAGCTTGGTCCACGTTGTTGCATCATGTTCCCTTTTCTTCCAGACTACTTAAAGAGTCAAGCCTTGGATTTCCAGAGGAAGGCAGTAAATGGAGGTACCAAAGGAACACTTTAGGGGGGAGAGAGAGGATGATGGTGTCTTCGGCTGCAGTGGTGGATATTCTGAAGCAGGCTAACTCAGAGCATTTGAGAAGTTGATTAGCAGAGAGTGGTAGAAAATTTGGCTTAGCACATTGTATATCCACATGTGGTACATTAATAATTTTATTTATGTGGTGGCTTCTGGGAGAGAGGGTCTATTAAATCCAGAGTGTGTTCCTGGGTTTGAAACCCAAGAAAGAAAACATTTAGCTTTTCAACTGTCACTTCAGTCCTTTTTTTTCTTCATGATCTGTACTTGCCACCCCGTAGATAATCCCAGATTTGCATCTCTGGGCCTCAGTGTGCTCCTGAACTCCAGAACGTCTGTGGCTTACTTGTGGTCACCATAGATCTTCTTCTTCTTCTTTCTCTTTTCCTGCTTCCTATTCCCTCTCTCTTCCCTCTCCTCTTCCTCCATCAGTTATTTACTAAAAACTGTATGAAATGATTTTTAAAACCACTTTTACTTATTCATCTCATGATTAACATGTAAAAAGCTACAATATTTAATGGATACAACTTGTTGTACATCCTTATTCTTGATTCATCTTTTTCTACAAACATCTCTCCTTTGTGTCTTCCTCATCTAAATTGGTTTATTTAGCCAGAAAACCTATACCAAGAACTTGGGTACTCAGGACAAAGATGAGAAAGACACAATCCTTTTTTTTTTTTTTTTAAAGATATTTAAGTAATCTCTACACCCAGCATGGAACTTGAACTCACAACCCTGAGATCATGAGTCACATGCCCCACCAACCTAGCCAGCCAGGCTTCCCATGACATAGTCCTTTTTGCCAGGATTCTGTGAAATGGGTGAGGTTGACACAGATTTTGGCAGTTAAAGACAGCATGAAAATTGGAGTGATAGATTTTATGCAGAAATATGACAGTAGAGGAAGGATGCTGCAGGACGCTAGCCTGGTGATGTGGGGCTACCTCCAAGCAGTGCTGCCTGGAGGAGGTGGTACCTGAGCAGATCCTCAAAGGTGGGGAGATAGGAGGCAACCATAGAAAGATAAGCAGGAAAGAAGATTCTGAGCAGAAGCGACACCATATTCATGTCAGGGAGGAAAGAACAGCAGAGCATGTGTAAAGTTGGGTGTTAACTAAAGCAGGAGGTACAGAAGTGGGATGAGAAGATCCAAGAGGTGATTACCCCCCCAGTCTCCAAATGCGGTCCTCTGCCGCCCACCCTTTCTTGCCTCACTGCTGTCTCTAGGACCTGTTCCCTTCTTCCCACCCCACAGTAACTCCCACAGTCCTCCCCTAGCCTGTCACAGCCTCCCACTCCGTTCCTTAGCCATCTGCTGCTGCCCATGGGACCTCCCAGCTGATCTGAGGCCATTTCCTATACAGCCTTGTTGTGCGTAAGGGCTCACTGCATCTTTTCCACTTCCTGAAATTCTCCTTATCCGCAAAGCTGCTCTGTCTACTTCCTTTCCTGTGTGCCATCACCATTCTTTGCATGTCATTCATTTTTTTCTTACAGAACTTTAGATAGCTTATGTCCTAAGCCTAACCTGGGTTCAGAACCTGTCTTTGCCATTTATTATCATGTCACCCTGAGCAAGAGACCCCACCTAATTTTTTTTTTTTTAAGATTTTATTTATTTCTTTGACAGACAGAGATCTCAAGTAGGCAGAGAGGCAGAGAGAGAGAGAGGAGGAGGCTTCAGAGAGAGGAGGAAGCAGGCTCCCCACTGAGCAGAGAGCCCAATGCAGGGCTCGATCCCAGGACCCCGGAACCATGACCCGAGCCGAAGGCAGAGACTTTAACCCACTGAGCCACCCAGGCACCCCGAGACCCCACCTAATTTGATCTTCGCTCTCTTCATCCATGCTTAACTGCTTTGTCATACTGTAGAACATTAGTTCTACATGGTAGGATTAGGCTGGAAGTTCTTTTTTTTTTTTTTTTTTTTAAAGATTTTATTTATTTATTTGACAGAGAGAAATCACAAGTAGGCAGAGAGGCAGGCAGAGAGAGAGGAGGAAGCAGGCTCCCTGCTGAGCAGAAAGCCCGATGTGGAGCTTGAACCCAGGACCTGGGATCATGACCTGAGCTGAAGGCAGCGGCTTAACCCACTGAGCCACCCAGGCGCCCCTGGAAGTTCTTTTAACTCAGAATATTGATAGCTAGAGAATTTTAATTGCTTGTAAAACTGGGAGTGTTCCAGACCTTACAGACATACTCATGGTAAAAATTCAGGAGAATGATTAGGAGGCTCTGGAGCCTGACAACTTGCATTCCAATGCTGTCTCTGCTACTTCCTGCTGTTTGTTCTTGGACAAGTTCCTCAACTTCTCTGAACCTGTTTACTCCTCTTTATTATGAGAAGAAGAAGAATACCTACCCCATAAAGTGTTAATAGTAATTAAATGGGTCACAGCCTATAAAGTATTTACTCTGTACAAGACATGTAGCAGTAGCCAACTAAGATTTATTGAGAATCTATATTTATTCTGAGATAGGCACCTGACCTGAAAGACATGCAGATACTGCCAGTCTGATTTTCTAACTTCCTTTCTTTGGACTCCTTTAAGCCATTGGTTCTCTGACACCCCGCTTTCCCTACCACAACCTTGTTTTCTATTTATATTTGAAAGCTGACTTTTCTTTGTTCCCTTGAAGGTTCCAAGAAGTTATGGCTAATTCTCTGACTGGTTATCTTCACAACATCTCTTCTGAAAATCTATTGAATGCTGTGTGTTCATTTTGCTTGATGAACCATTTCCCCATGGCCCTTATTAATCCACTTCTCCAAAAGGATGTCATCAAGGAGCTGCTGATACCAGGTGTGATGTCAGCATACGGTTGTGACCGAAATAAGGCGGTCCTACTCGCTAGCTACCTTGTGATTCTGAATGGGGTCATTGTTAGAGCAGAGTTAGTTAAAACATGCAGATGCTCCTGAGGAAAGGACCCAAAATGGTGAAGTCAGAGGTCGGTGCTTCAAGCCAGCAAACCTAGGCAGCCTCCTTTAATGACAGACTCTTACGTATAGAAGGCAAGGATCAGAAACACATCCCCATTGTTGCTTTCATTTATACCGTCTGCACTTGTGCAAAGGCTGCATGTTCACCGTGTTCTTTATGCCTCGATCGGAGGCGTTGGTATTTCCTAATCCTTACATACCACCTTTGGAGCTGAGTTCAAGTCAGCTTTTGCAGCCCTAATCACTTTGTCACTCCTGGCCTGTAATGAGGACACAAGCTTTTAGATCAAGCATTCAGATAGTTTCCAAAGTAGTGAACTTAACTTACTCTTGGAACGAAATTAATTGTTGACTTTGGATCTTTAGAAAGAAAAGCAATATCTGGCTGGATGTACAAAATTCAGTAATGTGTCTGAGAATAAATAGAGAAGTTTAAATTCTTTTAAGAACAATGTTAGGAAATCCCAAAGTCAAATTGTGAAGCAGGAATAGCATATGCTGATTTTTTAAGGCAGTGATAGTGGGGGGAAACAGCCCTAAACCCAGGAAACATGGATTTGAGTGCCAGCTTGGCTTTTGGTTAATCATAAGGCATTTGAACTTTCCTGGGCATTGCTCATCATTCAGTGAAGAGTTTACACTAAGTCACCTACAAAGATCTTCTAAACTTTAAAGCATTATCAAATACCGGGCACTGATGTAGGCTCTGTGGGAACACAGGGAGACACAGTGGTTCCTCCTGATAAGAAACAGATCATTAGCAATATAGGTACATTTAATACAATGTCTTAAGCTTGATGTTAATATTTCTTCTTAACTGTATATTTTTCTTTCTCCTTTTTTTAGGTGATGAGAGCAATGCTCACAAGCTTCGTATTTTGGCTGCTTGCCTAAAACTGGATGTTCCTTGTCACAAGGCCATAGACTTCGACCTGCCACCACGGTCATCCACGACATTATATCAAAATGTGAAGGTGGCAGACGCACTAAGTAGCCTTCTGGGAGAAGGATACTTCTCAAAAGACATACAGTTGCCACACAATTATCATATTGGTATGGGGGTCTCTGTGATTTTCCTCTATTGTATTTTACTTCTTTTCTTTTATTTCGGGCAAAGATGAAGAGTTTTCCATGGTAGGTTAGTGGAGTGTTGGCTCCGGAGCTGGACTGCCAGGTTGGGAGTCTTACTCTGTACGTGCCAGTGATGTGTTCGCGAGGTGCTCGCCTCCTTCCCCTTGTCCATAAAATGGCAGTAAGTGTAGTGGAACCTCATATGGTTCCCGTGATGAATAAATGAGATGATGCGTGTAAATCCCAGACTGGAGTCTGGCACATCATAAGCTCATCATACGTTGTGTCTGATGCCATTATCATTATTGGTAGTGTTAGTATATATTTTGAAACTGAATATCACTTTGAGCGATGTTTGAAAAATTAATTGTTTTCTTTCAGATTTTGAAGTCAGGATGGATATTAACAGGAGTCAAGTGCTTCCATTTTCCGACGCGGTAACTTCTGCAGATACTCAAAGGTTGCTGACATACATTCACATGCTGAGCTTTCTGAATTTAATTCTCAAAGACTTCATATTAAATAGCAGTAACAATACTAAGACCTGTTTCTGCAGAGCCTGTGATATACCAAGAGACTTCCCCTCCATTAATCTACTGCATAGGTGTAAATGCAGACGTTCCTTAAAGACAGTGGACTGGAGTTGAGCCATGTAATGAACTAGGCAATTTTTACAGATTAGGTTTTAAAGCTGAGTACTACAGTAAAACAATATTAACATGATTGAAACTATCCGTGCAGATGCTTCAGGTCCTGTTGCACACACCGCGTGTTCATTCAGTCTTTGTGGAAAGGCGCTACTAGGCCCAGCGGGGCACACAAAGATGAGTCAGACATGGATTGTGACCCCAAGGAACTTCTGTCCTCATTGCTTCACAGGATGTGCACATAACTACAGTAGAGAGAGGCAGAGAACGTTGGAAACCTGTAGGGCTTCACACTCTGTCCACTCATGCCTTTCCATTCTCTTCCAACTCTGTAACCTTTACCCCTTTTCTGAATCCATCTAGCTTGTTCCACGGCCATCTTTTTCACTGTGACCCTCCCTATACACATTTCCCATCTCCCCTGAAAGAAAGGCTTTCTCTCAGACCTCTGTGAAAGATTATTTTTCGTTTTCAGGTACTGCACTGTTTGGGCCTAATAATATAGTAGCTCTCAGCCTAAAGTACTGAGGAGAAGTAAGGAAATAATGAGCATTCCTTTAAGAAATAACATTTCTTTTATGCTATCTCAGATAACAGCCAAAGTATAATAGAAGACAGTAAGGATACAAAGGTCTTGTTTTCCCTCCAACCAACTTAATCTTTCCAAAAGGCCAAGAACAGTGAAAAAAACAAATTACACCTTCCACGTTTCGTTACACGTACAGATTTTATCATTTTAACAGTCTGGCCTTTCTCTTCGTGTTTTCTTCTTTGTATTTGCTCTCTTCTTTCTGGTTTTTAAATGCTTCTCTCTCTGGGAGACAATATGTACCACGAGAGCATTTGCCATTTGGTTTATTTACATCAGTACTTATAATTATATTTAGAACAGAGATTAACGCTGCACAGGAAGGCCATAAAATGCTTTCCTATTTGGATATTTGGCTCATCAAGAATATAGCCATCCTTAAAGATGGTTGAGAGATAATCATGTAAAGCGTTATTATAAGCTTTTGGTTTCTGTAGCCTTCATATACTGGAGTATTTGCAGAGGCCAAGTAGCAAGGAGGTGGAGGACAGTTGGGTAGGAGGGAACGGTGACAACTGTGGTCAGCAGAGAACTCGACTTTGAAATCTCCAAAGAAGAATGCAGCCCGATTGTAGATGTAATCTCATTAGTAATGGGTCTTCCTTTGTGCATTTTCATTTTCAGAGTAGCTGTACTGTGTGTTCCTAGATCTACTTACTGTTTGGATTTAGCCCATCCCAGAGGATTCCTTGCTATGAAATTGCGACATTTGAAAATAATGGGTTTTCACATAATCTTGGTAAGAAAAAAATGCAAACGAAATACTTTTCCGTTACTGATGTCCATTCTGCTAGGGATTTTGTGGTTGAGCTTGGTTACAAGGACTCTAGGGGAATTGTCGGCAGTGTTGGAATAAGTACCTTAGTTATTTTTTCTTTGGAAAAGAACATTTCTGTGCATGATTTGGTTCCTGCTCAGCGGTAACTATTATTTACTAGGAGTTTTATAAGTGCTACGTTTGGTAAACTTTATTCCTTTTTGTTAAGAGGAAAATGTAAATAATTTGTTTTCTTATTTAACTTAAGACCCATGACATGGTACTCAATTTCCAGAGTTTCTTGAACAAGGGAAGTAAAGATGTGAATTAAAGCTTTGTGTTATCATGGGCTCGTGTGAGGCTGTTGTCAGGTGTTTGTCACTGGAAAAAGCTAGATGGGCGTGAGAAGAGAGTTCTTTCTCCTCCTTCTCACACCTCATTTTTATTCTGAGCTCTACAGCTTTGCTAGGCCAGCCTTTCCAGATGTCTCTGTATGGAGCAAGAACCTTATGAATGAATCTATCTACATATATATTTCTATATCTCTGTCTATATCTATGTCTGTCTAAATGCCACTCACTTGTTCTTGCACATAAGGTGAAGTGTGAAATTCTCATCTTCATTGTGGTACTTCTGTATCCAAACGTGGATTACGTGCAGATTATTGAGGTTAAGATGCCATGTTTCTCTTAATGGGCTACTATTTGACTTTTTCCCCCTAATGGATATTATAGGGATTCTCAGGAAGATTATCCCAAGAAAAGAGTTTTTGCACCCATTAGAGGGCCTTTAAAGTTTTTCGAATTTTCACTGGTAGAGCTTTCTTCAACCCTAGCACATAGTCTTACTAAACCTTTAAAATATGAGTAATTTATAAGATAACACTTGTTTTTTTAAATTAACGTATAATATATTATTTGTTTCAGCGGTACAGTTCTGTGATTCATTAGTCTTATACAATTCACAGCACTGACCATAGCACATGCCCTTTCCAATATCCATAATCCAACTACCCATCCCTCCACCACCCCATCCCTCCTACTTCCCTCCCCTCCAGCAACCCTCAATTTGTTTCCCAAGATTAAGAGTCTCTTATGGTTTGTCTCCCTCTCTGGTTTCATCTTGTTTCATTTTCCCCTCCCTTCCCCTATGATCCTCTGTCTTGTTTCCCAAATTCCTCATATCAGTGAGGTCATATGATAATTGTCCTTCTCTGATTGACTTATTTTGCTTAGCATAATATCCTCTAGTTCCATTCACATCATTGTAAATGGCAAGATTTGGGGTTTTTCTTTGATGGCTGCATAGTATTCCATTGTATATATATGCCACATATTCTTTATCCATTCATCTATTGATAGACATCTAGGCTCTTTCCATAGTTTGCCTATTGTGGACATTGTTGCTGTAAACATGCGGGTGCACGTAACATATCAGATAAAGGGCTTGTAACCAAAATCTATAAAGAGCTTACCAAATCCAATACCCAAAGAACAAATAATCCAATCAAGAAATGGGCAGAGGACATGAACAGACATTTCTGCAAAGAAAACATCCAAATGGCCAACAGACACATGAAAAAGTGCTCCACATCACTTGGCATCAGGGAAATACAAATCAAAACCACAATGAGATACCACCTCACACCAGTCAGAATGGATAAAATTAACCAGTCAGGAAAGGACAGTCGTTGGCGAGGATGAGGAGAAAGGGGAACCCTCCTGTACTGTTGGTGGGAATGTAAGCTGGTGCAGCCACTCTGGAAAAGAGTGTGGAGGTTCCTCAAAAAGTTGAAAATAGAGCTACCCTATGACCCAGCAATTGCACTACTGGGTATTTACCCTGAAGATACAAATGTAGTGATAACACTTGTTTTTTTTTTTTTTTTTTTTTAAAGTTGGCTTGATGTTACTTTGATATGCTTGGATCTCAAAACTAGTTTTTATTTTACATGTCATTGTCTTCTTGCAAACTGATGATTTTCCCCTTTCTTTGGTAAGGTCCATAATTGGGAGGTGGAAAGGCTGGAGAAGAAGGATGTAATCACATTTTTGAAGACCAAACTCTACTCAACTGAAGCCTTTCTTACTGCTGATGTAAATCTGCAAAGCACGTGTTAAAGTCAAAGCAGCCTTTTCGTAGTAGCAGACATAAGTTTGTAATAGAATTTTAATAAAGACTACAATTCAGTTGTCAATGGAATTCACCTGACTGCTCAACATAGCAGAACGTGACGCTTCAGTTCACCATTAAAATCAGTTTTAAGAGTGGAAGAAATGTTCTTGGCATTTTCGAAGGTGACCCCAGAAGGGTCACTTTTCCAACCATACCTATTCTTTCTAGGTCCCAGATATTTGACAGATTCGTGGGCTGTAGGTTTTACTTTTGCTTTTTAGCTTTCATGCATTAAACACTGGTTCCTTAGTTGTGATGGGCTGCGGCTGAGGTGGTTGGGCAGGTCTTGTGTTCAAAATCTGTACATCTGCAGTCTTGCTATAAGCGGTTCTGGGACTCGGGCATTGACCACGTTTTTCAGTGTTGACCACGTGGCAGTTTAGCCGAGTGCTCGAACTGCAGCATGTGTGAGAAGAAATGGAAGTAGCATGTGCAGAATGGGTGCGGGTCGGGCGTCTGCATTCGCAACAGGCACTTGAGATGGAAGTGGTTCGTGGGCCACGCTGAGAGATGCACAGACGAGACCGTGCAGAGATGTCAAGGAGGCCAAATTTATTAGGCTTTGGATTGCTAACATCACTTTTGCCATTGCTGAGATCATTCCTTTCCCTCCTTTCCCCTTTCCATTTCCCACCATTTCATGAAGTCTTTTAGCTTAAATATATAGCTGAACTATGTGATGAATCAGACCTGAGGACTGTTTTTCAATTGTTTGTTAATTCTTTTATTGAAATATTTGTTCAGATCTGCGGTATAGCTGTCTACCTAGTGTTTGACTCACTGTGGACACAGTGAGTTTCGCTTATGAATCCTGAGCGCCATATTAAGTTGGTATGATTTTACCTCCTTGCAAGAGACTGGATGTGTATGTCCCCACCTCTGAATTCATATGTTGAAACCTAAGCCCCATGTGATGGTATTTGAGGTAGAGCATTGGGGGGTGATTAGTCCATGAAGGTGGAGCCCTCATGAAATGTATTACTCCTCTTATAAAAGACCCCAGGGAACTCCCTTGTTGCTTCTACCATGTGAGGACACAGTGAGATGACCACCTATGAGCCAGGAAGAGGGCCCCCACCAGACACTGAGTCTGCCAGAGCTTTGATCTTGGACTTCCCAGAGTCCAGAACTGTGAGAAATAAATTATTGTTGATAAGCCACCGAGTTGATGGGATTCTGTTAACATCAGCCCAGATGAACTAAGATACCCCAAATACACAGACCTGGACACCTTGCTCTCCGCCAATCCCAGCGAAGTACTCACCTGTGCTCTCTTCGTTATCTTAATTAACTATTGAGGTGTAGCTGCTAGTAGGATCCTCTTGGGGGGCCCTCATTTCCTTATCTCTAATAGGATGAATTATTTGCCACGACTACGCAGGTAATAGGGCAGGGCTGGAGTGGGAACCTGAGCTGAAAGAGGCTTAAGAGAGACTTGAACCCTGGGTCGGTCATAAAAAGTCTTCAGGATGGGACTATTCAACTGTCAGAGATTTTACCTGCTTATCCAGCCTGCGTTTAGAAAAGGTTAGGGCCCACATCATTCCATCCTCTACTGCCCTTTGGCTTGGGTCTCAGGAAATCTGGATTCTGGTTCCGTATTGGACAGCACTGAGCTTTGTGTCTTTGGTCAAATGATTTAATCCTTAGAAGCTTCAGAATGAGAATTGAAAATATTTTATTAAAGAAACAAAGATTCATTCTTTGAATATCATGTGTCTGTTGCTTCTAGTGGCTAATTATGGCTCATGGTCAAAAGGTTGGACAGTTTCAGGAAGACTTGTAACTAGCTTTTGGGGAAGTAGTTTCTTTGCATTTGTATCAGTTGGCATGGCAGATAAAGAAATGCATTCCTCTTTTACACTATTATTACTAGGATCAGTATTCTTTATTGGTTTGTAGTGTAAAAAAGTCTTGTGAGACTCCAGGTACAGCATAGGGAAACAGCTTAATAATATATGTCTTATCAGAATAGAGAAATTTATTCCTCCAGGAGAATATTCATATATTTTCCTTTTCTGGTATTCATTCAGTTGACTTAAACAAAAGAAAACAAAACAAAAAGCCCAACTACACAGCCTCAGTTTGATTTCACAGACCTATTTCTCATACAGTGAGAGAGGATCAATAAAATGGGAGTTTATAAATCCAAATTCTGGCAACTCTTGATCAAGTCACAACATATTTTGTATCTTAGTACCACTATCTCCACGCTGTAGAAATGATGAAACTAACCCATTTTACTGTATCAACCAAACAAAAGAGTGAATGTGAAAGATGGAAGTTGATGTGTTTATATTACACAGCTTGCTTCTGATGCAGTCTGTGGCAATAAGTGAGCCACCTCGTGAAAGAAATTAGGTATTTGGAAAAGACTTCAATTTCATTTATGTCTAAATCTGTGTTCTGACTGAGTCTTGTGTGTGTTTGGAGCAGTGTTAAGATTATTATTTTTTTTAGTCTTGAACTTCTTTAAAATGTCTACATAGATTACAATTACATCAAGTATACACAAAGGTAAACATCAAGTCAAGGGGAAAAATAGATTTTTAAAAGATATTTATTTATTTGACACAGAGAGAGAGAGACAGGGAGAGAGGGAACACAAGCAGGAGGTGTGGGAGAGGGAGAAGCAGTCTTCCCACTGAGCAGGGAGACTGATGTCATGTGAGGCTCAATCCCAGGACCCTGAGATCATGACCTGAGCTGAAGGCAGACGCTTAACCTACTGAACCACTCAGGCACCCCAAGATGGTATATTTTTGACAAATATTTAAAGAGATCCTATAAGTTGATAAGAAACACTAATGTAACAAAAGAAAAATGAGCAAAGAACTGATCATCACAAATTTCAGTCTACTACTAATGAAAACCATGCACATTCAAAAAAATGAGATATGTTTGTCTTTTAAAATAGCAGTGTTTTTTTTTTTTCTTCCTTTTAAGAATTCCAGTACTGCTGAAGAATGTGTGATGAGGTAGGCACTTGCATATACAGCTGGTAGAATGTAAACACCTTTCTGGAATACATTTTGTGACCTCTCCCCTCCCCCCATATTAAAAAAAAATAGCTTTATTATATAACTGACAATGAACTGCATATATTTAAAGTGTAATTTGATACATTCTAACAGATTTTACATATAAAATATCCATGAAAACATCACCACAATCAAGATAATGAACATACCCACCACCCCTAAAAGTTACTCCCTCTTTGCCTTTCCCTTTGTTCCCTGGAAACCATTGGTCTGTTTTTTTGTCACTATGGAATGTTCTTTGGCTGTATGCATCCGGAGTCTTGGAAATATTGAAATCTATTGATACTGACCAGTAATTAGATTTTTAATGATCTTGTGCCTCTATGCATACATAGTACATGCTTGATAAATATTTGTATTACTCCTGCATTGTAAGGATCCTTATCACTCCATTGCTGGGGTGTTTCACTGCATATGAGCCAGACATTGAAAATTATGTGTGTTCATCATCACTTGAATATATATATTTTCTATGCCTTTGCTACTCTGAGTATGGTCCAAGACCAGGAGTGTCGGCATCATCTGGGAGGTTGTTAGAAATGTAGAATCTTGGGACCCATCTCAAGACCCATTGAACCAGAACCTGTATTGTAACAATCCCAGGTGATTCGTATGCTCATTAAAATTTGAGAAGCACTGTTCTAAGACCTCATTTTAATATTTGTAAAATATCTGGGTGTGCCATAATGTACTTGATGTGGGGATAACCCTACAATTATATTAAATGGAAAAACAAATACCAACTCCATATACTAGGATTTAAATTTTATTAAAAAAATTACAGCTTATATAATGCAGAGATGTGCACAAAAAGACAGGAAAGAAAGGGATAAAGATGGAGAGAGTGATATTTCTGAATAGAATTGTGATTTTTATCCATATTTTTAATATTTTCAAAAATGAATAATTAGAAAACAAATCATTAATTGGGCTCAATTCATTCCTAACGCTTGATTCTCTAAACAGCATTGTAGTAATTAGTGATAACCATGAAGAGCTTACTTAATGTATTCCCAGAATCATGAGTGATATGAAGAAGTTAAGACAGCGATCCTCTCAAGTTGCTTACAAGATAAGACGCCATTATCATTTGCCAAAAGATAACCTGATATGTGAAAAGGCTCCAAGCAAAAGGGAAGAGGAAGTCTGAGGGGAAAGGGTCCCGGGGTTGGGTTTTCAGAGCTGGCTGTACAGAGGAGAGTGAGTATGATTTGGTAACATACACAGGGAGACCATAAATAATCTGACCATTTCTTGCAGGTATTTTATGAGATGGAACAATAGCGGTAGTACACGTGATAAATTCTGATAACTAAATTTTAAAAGGGAAAGGAGCCAAGAACATTATCCTCTGCTTAGAATGTTAATGTGGTAAGTAAATAAATTTACTTTACTGTGAAATCTTGTTCTCCATGTGATAATGTGGCTCACGCTACTCCATTCCAAGCCCGACCTTTACGTCATGATGCACATAGAAAATGAAGTGTTTTCGTAACACTAAACTAAAGAGTATTTTGAGTGTTTATTTGGCACTTAGTAGAACAAAATATTGTCTTCATACGCTATAATAAGGATGAAAGTCGGTAAAACCCAAAGTATTAGAGAAGATTTTAAATATTGATATTGTGTAAAATTCCCAAATATTTTAAAAATACTTTACTGAGAAACTTGATCTTGCTTTCTAGATGTAACTGTTAAATATTAAGTTTCATGCTTGAAATGGCTATATCCAGTTCCCGATCAAGGTATTTTAATGATGAGGTCTTCGAATTCTTGGTAGTCACCATTGACAAGAGAGTTTGTTTATATAAGTAGCTGATGAAACAATTTTAAACCATTTTTGAAACCATTTGAAAATTGAAAATTTCATTTAGCACCTAATAGCACTTCTTGTTCTGTTATTGACAAATGCGATGTAGATTTTTTTGTGTGGTAATACAAATGTGTTTGAAATGCAATGGAATTTTTCATCTCAACTATTTCTAAATACTTGAGGTACATGTAAAACCACCTGGCAGTGTACATGGATAGCCTTAGTGGGTCTTACTAACATGATGTATGTCTCTAATTTTGAGTGGAAGTCTTTAGAACAAAATTCAGAAAGTGTTTTAAAAAGGTATCCTGGGGCGCCTGGGTGGCTCAGTGGGTTAAAGCCTCTGCCTTCAGCTCAGGTCATGATCCCGGGATCCTGGGATCGAGCCCGCATCGGGCTCTCTGCTTAGCAGGGCCTGCTTCCTCCTCTCTCTCTGCCTGCCTCTCTGCCTACTTGTGATCTCTGTCTGTCAAATAAATAAATAAAAAATCTTTAAAAAAATAAATAAAAAGGTATCCTATTTTTGGCTCCACGATAGTGAAGTTCTGATTGTGTGTATGTGTGTGTTGTTACAGCAGTCACCCTGCAACTAGTTTGGATGTCTCTAAGCAAAAAGAGATAAGTCAACAGAAGAGATTTTAGGGCATGTACCTGGAGCTGTTCTTATGAGGATGTGGCCTTCCCCAAACCCAGCTGTCTGCACCTCACCATTGAAACTATCCAGCAGCTGGAGTGTCCCTGGTCCATAATGTTCAGCAACTCAGCCAGCAGCAGGCTTTTTAAGTAACTGTCTGGGTAACTGGACACATTCTTGGCTTCACACAATACATCCCAGCACAACAGGGAAAGCCAATGCTTTTCATCTTTATTCATGGGAACTGAGGGGTGAGCCATCAGGTCCCACTCTGTCTAGACTGCCCCTTCAAGGGAGAGCTAGGTGAGGTGGCCAAAAGTTGCTTTGGCTGCCCAGCCCTTTGTGACTACCCAAAAGGCTTGGAGGACAGAATCTTTTGATACACTTTTAACCCCTTTGTGGTGCATGGGTTTGCTATGGCTCACTGATGGACGCAGGGGACGGAAGTCTATACAATTCCCGACCTTCCTTACATCCTTGAGTTCCAGATGTGACCTGGCTTCCTCCAAGCAGATGTACCTGCTTGAGATTAAGAAGGC